ACTAGAAATGATGATCTCTTTTAAAAGCATTCACCTCTCCATCATTCTTACTCTCTTCTCAGATGGGATTTATTCATTCATTTTCTTTTCGGCTTAGGGCCCTATCATACACCCGGCGCAATGTGGGTGGCGCAAGGCGTGACGCAATTGTTATTTGCTACTTTCAGCTTGGCGCAAGAGTCGTTTTGAGGTGTTGCGCCACGCTGTTTAAAGAGCCCATATTATGGGTTTTTGAAAATGCCCCTCCATGTAGTGTGTAACACAGCTCTAAGTGAAGTGAAATATCCAGCTTAGGCTTAAATCTGTAAGTGTACAGTGTTTAAAACTGTTGATTCATCTATAAAAGAGTCAACTCATAGTGCTTCAAACGAGTTGCCTTGATAACGAGTCATTAGGTGTTTCGCCATGACGTACGAACGAAACCAAGTTATTCACGTGCACGCGCAAACCCGGGAGATTTCAAACCTGCGGCCCCGCCCTCTAACACAGAAACCCACCCACACACACACAAACACACACACACACACAAACATGCCGGTCGATTGAAGTCACACTGCAGATAGATATTATTGAGTCTCTACCCAAAGATGAAATCTCAGCATAAGCCCAGCTTTAAGCAGTTGGAAACTACTGGAAACTTCTGGAAACTACATGCTACAAAGAATACTTCGTTTGTTAAAGGAAGGATCAGTAAAGACTCATGTCAGGAAATGGATCGGTTTCTTCCTCCATTTCTCAAGTGTTACCGTACGTTCACACCGAAAGCGGCGAGAGCGTCAAAGTAGCCGGAAGTCATTCATTTTCAATGAGAGCCGGCGGCAAAAGGCGGCGAGGAGCAGCGCGGCGCGTCTTCGCCGGCGTGAGCGTCGAGGAGAGTTGAAATGAAGTCAACTTTATGGTAATGAGCTATGACGCGGATCGGCGGCAAGCAATCAGAATGAAGACGTCCATCGATTGATAGCAGTTCAGAGAACACAGACCTGTGAACTTTGGTTCCGACCACAGTTGTTCCCAAGGGTTTGATTATTGCGGTCGCCGGATTTCCAATTATTTACAATTTTTTTTCCTAAAGGAACATTAAATAAGTTACTGGCGAGTTACTGATGTTCAACAATGTTATATAAATTTATCTTAAAAAGCGGGAATCTCACGCGATGTGACAGTACAAAACAGTACTGCTGCTTCAGGATATTTCAGACATATGGACACATATTGGATAAATAGAGCAAAGCCACACCACACGCAACTTGATCTTCCATTGTTGTATGAATTTGATAAGAAGTGCGCAACATTTTCACGCTAGAAACATGTTTTATGCAGGAATGTAACTGATATGCTGCAACGGCTCCTTTAAATATGAGATCAATGTAGCGAGTTTTGACGCTCTCGCCGCAGGAGCTGAAGGCAGAGAGCGTTGTCGCCAGGGCGGCCAGAGCGACCTTGGACGCTCTCGCCGCTTTCGGTGTGAACGTACAGTTAGTACGTGCGATTAAAGTTGTTGCCTCGTTTACTCTTGCTTGCAAATGTATTTAGTTGTGATTTGTTACTTGTAACCGCGTGTACTGTATCAGGGTAACTCGCTATATTCTCATATTGCGTGCAAAGCCACGTTAAAAACACGACGCGTGCTGCTTTGTTTAAGTTCCCGTGGAGGAGTATAATGTGTGTGTGTGTGTGTGTGCGTGCGTGTGCGCATGTGCGCGCACGTGCATTGTCGTCCGGAGGAGGGTTATGTGTGTGTGTGCGTGATGTCGTCTGGAGGAGGACACAGATACTGAAATGCTTAGTTTTTACACCTTACTTTACATCATGTAAATAGCAGATGCACTATGGCGCGACGCAACTGGCTTTTAAAGGGAATGGGAGATGAGACTCTGATTGGTTTATTTTCAAAACACACCTATAACTCATTAAGAAAATAAACTCAACCCTTTTAGACCATGCGCCACAGCGCAAAGCAGATTTTTCTGTCCTTATATTAGTAAAACTGGATTCTGACACGCCCTGAAAGCGCTTGCGCCCTGCACTCTGCGCATGGATCGTCAAAATAGAGCCCTTAGTCTCTTTATTACTCTGAGGTTGCCACAGTGGAATGAACCGCCAACTTATCCAGCACGTTTTTACGCAGCAGATGCCCTTCCAGCCGTATATATATATATCATTCAACTGCAGAAGTGTTTATTTTGTAAGACATTTGGAAAAAATGCATTCAAATTTCCAAGGGTGAATGCTTATATATATACAGTTGAAGTCAAAATTATAAGCCCCCCTTTGTTTTTGTTTTTTTTATATTTCCCATGTTCACGGTATGTCTGATAATATTTTTTCTTCTGGAGAAAGTCTTATTTGATTTTTTTCAGCTATATAACAGCAGTTTTTATAAAAAAAAAAAATAAAAAAAAACATTTTAAGGACAAAATTATTCACCCCTTTAAGTAATATTTTTTCAATAGTCTACAGAACAAACCATCCTTATACAATAACTTGCCTAATTACCCTAACCTGCCTAGTTAACCTAATTAACCTAGTTTGGCCTTTAATTGTCACTTTAAGCTGTATATAAGTGTATTGAAAAACATAGTAAAATATGATTTACTCTCATCATGGCAAAGATAAAATGAATCAGTTTTTTGAGCTGAGCTCACTGGTGCGTTTTTACTTTTTAAATGTTTTAAACAGTTGTTTTGGCCACTTTTAATGTTTTTGCTCTCTCTGGTGGGTTTGTTTTATTTTTTCAACTAGATGGCTTGCTTGACTGATAGTGACGGCTCTTTGGATCTCATCTTAAGAGTTGACAGTAACAGATTCCAAATGCAAATAGCACACTTGAAATGAGCTCTGGATTTTTATCTGCTCATTGTAATTGGGATAATGAGGGAATAACACACACCTGGCCATGAAAGTGCAAAAAAAAAAAAAAAAACAATTGTCCCATTACTTTTGGTCCCTTAACTAGTGGGAGGCACATATGCAAACTGTTGTTATTCCTACACCGTTCACCTGATTTGAATGTAAATACCAATATTTATCCTTGAGGTGCTGTCATGTCCCTTTAAGTACAAAAGTGTACCTTTCGACGGTGGAAGTTTCAGAAGAAATGTGGCAGTCAAGTTTAAAAGACATTAATAAACATTCTATCAATTCTGACACTAATTATTCAATTTAAAGTAATTCTCAGATTATATTGCTCAAAGAAAAAACTACATAGAATCTTCCAAAATATCTCACCTCTTTGTGACAAATGTAATTCTACATCTATCTAATGTATCCAATAGTAGAGAATGGACTGGACAATCTATCCTATAGTTTTATTTTATGCTCAAGACAGGGCTGGACGATTTGGCCTAAAATCAAAATCACGATTAATTGATTTATCTCGATTTACTTGATTACCATTATTTGATTTATTTCTTTCATTTATTGTTTTTTTGCTCTCATAGTTTACTGATAAGCTTTATTTTCCATCTAAAGGCATATCTGGCGCAGCTTCCAATCATCGTCAATGTAGTGCAAAGTAAGGCTCAAGAACGAGTCCATTGTCCTACTTGACCAGAGACCAGATGTGGCTGCAAAGTGGCCACAGAAGTAGAAATTAGCCACAACCTTTAACAGAGCAGGGTCACGTGACACGTAGGGAAAGTAATTGATAAAATCGTCCTGAAAAAATTAGATCGATTATAGGTTCTGAATGTCGATTTCGATTACTTTTCGATGAATCGCCCAGCCCTAAGATACAGAACTATTGTAATGGAATTTTTGAAGTGCTTTCTGAGATGTTTAATTAATTAATGCAATTAATGCCAGACCTTCTGGGATGTTCTGAACAAACGCATTTGTTTTCACACACACAACACAAATTGCTTTCATACAGCTAAACTACAGCCAAGAAGTCACTGCTACTCTATTGAAAGAAAAAGGAGTCTCCTACATGTACACTGTGGCTTGGACAAATGACTTCTGCATTACATTTGGAGTAAATTAGGTACTGTTTGAAAAGAAAACTTGAGCAGTTTGACAAAATCTGGTATCCTTCTCTGTTTCCTTGACAAAAATCCTTGTGGACTAATGCACACACAACACAAACTGCACTCATACAGCTTAACTCCTTAATTGAAAGAAAAGGGAGTCTCCTAGATGTAAACTGTGGCTTGGAGATATGAATTCTACATTTGAAGCGAATTAGGTACTGCTTGAAAAGAAAACATGAGCAATTTGACAAAATCTTGCATCCCTTTATCTGTTACCTTACCTTACCCTAAAACTTTTGGACTAATGTATCATTTTATGCAACACTTGAATATTCTTTTTAATTATACTCGAATGTTCAAACAGATCTTTGTAAACAAGTTTTTTTGAATGGCTTGTTATATTGGTTTTAGCTTATTTTTCTTTTTTTCTTATGCTTATGTATAATGTGGACAAAATATGTAAAAGAAAGAATCTTTGTCCCTGAATTTTTGTCTTCAATCAAAGCTTATTTAACTAAAGTGTACCCTTTTAAAGGTTACTGCCCTAGTGACAGCTTTTGTTCTTTTATTTCTTTTTATTTTTAATCTGTAGTGTAGTATATATAAAAAATCACTCATTTTAATCAATCAACTGCAGAATTGTGGTAAAAACTATTGATTATATCTATTTCTGGTCAAGCATCTCCAGTGTTCATAATATTTGTTTTGTCAATGAACTGAGAACTACTAGAGTTACTCTTTCATATTGTGTTCAGCCATGAATTCCAAAACCGCAGAAAATGATTGAACTGGCGTTGTTTCCAAAGACTTCTTTATTTATAAATCCCTCAGGAGAGATTTTTTTTTCTTGGGACTGATGCGAGTCACAAGGCTCATTCACAAGCCAAACTGCACTTTGCCTTCAGGCCTTTTAAGATGTAGGAAAGAAAACTTGACCAAACAAGCAGCGGGTCACTCAGTGGTCAATTATGTCATTTCCTTGAAGAGTTCTGTCATTGGTCAGTAATATTCTGTATTGATTGTGTCTGACAGGTCTTCCCATCAGCACTTACGCCAAGTACTGCTACCGTAAGCTGCAGAAAGTGGCCATTACTGGAGGCAAGAAGGTAAGAGTTATTATTATTTATTTATTTAAATGGTTGGTTATTTGTAACTGAACATTTAAATGTGTTTTACGATTGTTATTTTACTTTTTAGCAGTAGTAGTCGTAGTATATTTTATATCAGTATAAGTTGAATATTTAACCTTCATAACACATTTGGGACCATGCTTCAAGACTATCTAAACACACATTTTGATATTATACAGTGGTCAACATTTGAAGTGGTTCAAAACCTTTTATTAAAGTTGTTCTAAAACTATTCAACAACACCCATTCTTGTCTTAGGACCATTTTGAAACTTTTTTGACCCACTTCAAATGCTGTATACAAGTAAAATACATACACAATTGTATTTAAGTTTTCATTTTAACACATATTGTTTATTTTAAACCCTTAAATATGCGTGGAGTACCATAATCTGACATTAGGTGTCAAATATGTGTCCAAGCAATATATCCAAATATATCCTATTCAAGTTTTAGGAACAACAAATAATAACTTGACCCCTAGTTTATCATTTGGTATCAGAAGAAAGGCAAAGGCAAAGAAAGTGTTCGTGCAGGACTCCCAGAGTTCATCAGGATTCTTTGGATTCATCTTCAATGCCTCCTCATTCATCTCACCCCAGACATGCTCAAAAATGCCGATCCTGGAGCACCTTGACCTTCTTTGTTTTCAAGAACTTTGATGTGGAGGCTAAAGTATGAGACAGAGCGCTATCCTGCTGAGGAATTTTCCCTCTCCTGTGGTTTGTTGTGTAATAGGCTGCACAAATGTCTTGATACCTCAGGCTGTTGATGCTGTCATCTACACTGCAGATCTGCCACATGCTGAATGTAACCCCAAACCATTTTTTTTCCTTCACCAAACATGACTGATTTCTATGAGAATCTTGGGTCCCTGTGGGTTCCAATAGGTCTTTTGTAGTATTTGTGATGATTGAGATGCAGTTCAACAGAAGATTCATCGGAAAATTCTACCTTCTGCCACTTTTCCAAATGATCAACCAGAAGTCAAGTTAATATTTGTAATAAAAACCAAATAGATACATTTAATCTTGATTAAACATCTCATTTATCATACTGTACATGATAATGTTATTATGATGGTTGATTTATCTTATCAGCCATGACATAAGAATAACTTCTAGATTTATCATATTAGCCAACCTTAATTAACATCAGTTACCTCTTAGGCTTAACCTGAATCCAGCGTTGTTTAATTTTAATAATTAGTTCTTGATTGCACAATTGAACCTAAACATGCTCAGTGATGCCTAACGCTCTTTATCCAGACACACAGAAGCGGGCTGTGATGGTGAATGATAATTGAAAGCAGTTTTTTCAGAGAGGATTGTTTATTTATAGATGCCAGCTCTGCTGTTAGATGGTACCCAGGAGTCTCCAAACGGTCAAAAGAAGCAGTATATGGTGCTGTCGCCCAGAATTGGCCACATCTGTGAGCAATCACTGCACTTGGCCTTTAGGAACGCACCATGAGAATTACTAATCCACTAACCCAAACTAAAAAGAAGAGGTTACAATAGCAAACCCTCACCCCTCACTCCATACACAAGCTTCAATGCTAACAGCACTGGCACTAGTAGAAGCTGTTTCCCTTGCCTATTTATCCTTTCACCAGTCCCACCCTGTAATCAGCCATCCAACCTCTGTCTCCAGTGTTTTTACTGGGTGGGCTATTTTTACATCCGCACAGCTACACATTATCCTGCTCAGCGCTGTTATTGTGTTACAGTTGAGCTGGTGTCTTTGTGTTTCATACTGCAATATTGAGTGCTCTCAACAAGTGTTTTACAATGTCCTAAACTAATGTTGACACTCTTAGTAGATATCCATGTTAATTTTGAAAGCATATTTTGATTTAGCTTCAGTCTTAGTCTTTTAACTAAAATTCCATTTTAGTTTTAGTCATATTTAGTCTTCTGAATCATTTTAGTTTTTATCGACTAAATTCCACAAGATTTTAATGGACTAAATCTACTCAAGATTTAGTTGACTAAAATATATTTGCTTTAATTTAATTAAAACATTGTATATATTTATTTATACAAAATATTCTAACTTAAAATTAAATAAAACAGTCATATTAAAATTAGATATGCATTGTTTATCTACGTACAGTGCATCCTGAGAGTATTCATAGCGCTTCACTTTTTCCAAATTTTTTATGTTACAGCCTTATTGCAAAATGGATTAAATTCATTTATTTCCTCAAAATTCTTACACACAATACCCCATAGTGACAATGTGGAAAAAAAGAGTTTTTGAAAATTGTTGCAAATTTATTAAAAATAAAAAACTTGAAAAATCACATGTACAGAAGTATTCACAGCTTTTGCTCAATACTTTGTTGATGCACCTTTAACTGCAATTACACCCCCAAGTGTTTTTGAATATGATGCAACAAGCTTGGCACAGCTGTCTTTGAGAATTTTTGCCCTTAGAATTTAAGACTGACTGATTTTATAACATTTAATCTAGCGGAGTCAATTCTTTAAAGGTCAGGGAGAGGCTATGCAAGTTACTACTTTTCAAATGTGCATCACACACCATTAATTCTGATTGGATATTTACCAAAATGCATCCCTCAATCACATTCTCATCGTATTATTTTTATTAGTCAACGAAAATGTGAGTATAATTTTCTGTTAGTTGAGGTCATCATCACCTCATCATAGTTTTTGTCGGTAGAAACTTGTTCGTCACGAAAATTTTGTAGAAAATTTTTCATCAACGAAATGAACACTGGTTGATATGAGAAAATAAAGCAGTGAAAAATCAGTTTATTGTTATTTTGATTTCTGTGTTATAAGTGATAAAATAATACTTAAATAAAATGCTTAAAAATACTAATTAAAAATACTTAAATAAAATGTTATATTTTTAAAATACTAAATAATGTAACAGTTATAAAGAGATCAAACTAAATGAAAATTCTGTCATCATTTACTCATCATCCTCCATCCAAGAAACCTTGTTCCAAACCAGTTTCTTTCTTCTGTTGGACACAAAGGGGAAGACATACTGAAGAATGTTGGTGGGGAAAAAACAGCCATTGTCTCCATTCTCCATAGTATTTTTTGCTTCTACCATTGATGTCAATGGTTGCTTTCTTCCAACACTCTTCAGAATATCTTGTTTTGTGTTAAGCAGAAGAAAGAAATACATAAATACTTAGATACACTTGAGAGAAAGTAAGTAGTGAGGATATTGTCATTTTTAGTTTGTATAATCTGAGACCATTTGCATTTGTTTTGGTCAAATTTGAATGACAATATATTAATGACTGAAGTCTGTCTCTTGTTCTGTCTGTAGGGTTTGAGGAAGCCCACACTGGAGGAGATTGATCACAGTCGAAATGCCATCGTGACGCCATCTCTGTTTGGCAGTGCTCTGGAGCAGATCATGGAGAGGCAGAGTGAGCTCTTCCCTGACAGGAAACTGCCTTGGGTGCAGGTGCAGCTCTCCCAGTGTGTCCTGGCTCTGGGTGGAGCTCAGACGGAGGGCATCTTCAGGTGAGACACGGCACTTACTTTGCTTGACACTGTTTGCCTCGAGGATTGCCCTAATTATTTGTGGCACTGATTTAAGAAGGTTCTGGAAAGATTTTAAACTATATTTTCATGATAGTATCATTCAATTTTCAGCTGCACATTTATGATACAGTTCAAAACTGACTCAATGAGGGATCTAAACTAGCTCAGTGGTCGATTAAATCTAGCCCAAAAGCTGATCAAAACTAGTCTGAAACTAGTCTAGTGACCGATCACAACTAGCCCAATGTCCAATCAAAACTAAAACTAGCCTAAAACTAGCCCAAAAACTAGCCCGGTGGCCGATAAAAACTAGTCTAATGGCTGATCAAAACTAAACCAATGTCTGATCAAAACTAGACCAATGTCCGATCAAGACTAGCCCAATGGCTGATCAGAACAAGCCACAAACTTGTCCAATGGCCAATCAAAACAAATTCAATAGCAGATCAAAATTGGCAAATTGGCTGATCAAAACTAGCCTAAAACTAGTTCAATGACCGTTCAAAACTAGCTGAATAATTTATTAAAACTAGCCCAGCGGCCGATCAAAACTAGCCCAAAAGATGATCAAAACTAGCTCAAAAGCTGATCTAAGCTAGCCTAAAACTAGTCCAATAACTGATTAAAACTAGCCCAGTGGCCGACCAAAACTAGTCTAATGGCTTATCCAAACTAGACCAATGTCTGATCAAAACTATCCCAAAAGCAGATCAAAAGTAGTCCAATGACTGATCAAAACTAGTCCAATGGCCTATCAAAACTAGCCGAAAAGCCGATCAAAACTAGTCCAATGACCAATCAAATCTAGTTCAATGGGCAATCTAAACTAGCCCAGTTGCCAATCAAAATGAGCTTAAAAGCTTATCAAAGCTAGCCTAAAACTAGCCCAATGACTGATCAAAACTAGCCCGTTGGCTGATCAAAACTAGTTTAATGGCTAATCAAAACTAGACCAATGTCTGATCAAAACTGTCCCAAAAGCAGATAAAAACTAGTCCAGTGACTGATCAAAGCTAGCCCAATATCTGATCAAAACTAGCCCAATGGCCGATCAAAACTAGCCGAAAAGCCGATTAAAACTAGTCCAATGAACAATCAAGGCAACAAACCAAGGCAGTGGCTGATTAAAACTAGCTCAAAAGCTGATCAAAACAAGCCTTAAGTTATTCCAGTGACCAATCTAAACTAGTCTAATGGCTGTTCAAAAGTAGTCCAATGTCTGATCAAAACTAGCCCAATGGCCAATCAAAATAGCCCAGTGGTTAAAGGTAGCCTAATTCAACATGAAAACCAGAGACTTGGCAACCCTGCAAAGCTGCTCTATTGGTTTGAATGATAAATGATGACATGATGTGATGCAGCTATAACATTTCTTTCATAATTTGAACATCATAGCTCTGGGTCAACATTTACATGTTATTTTACTAGTTACCATTTATGCATGTTTGTATGTTTTAGATGTGAAATCATAATAGTAGGCAGAAATGTTATGTTGTTCACAAATACAGTAGGACAAATTTTAATATTAATGTGGTACAGAACACTTAGATGTAATGATATACTTCGCTGAGTCCTCATGCCTAACAACATTTTAGAGGAAAAAGTGTGTGCGTGAATTAAAGTAAGTAAAATCTAGGGGCATTACATGTAACCAGGCCATGTTTTCATTAAGCCCTGTGTGTTGGCTCCATCTAATGGTCAGTTGCTACAACACACTATTCTTAAAAGGATATTCCACCCAAAAAGTTTCAAAAAGTTTCCCGAAGAGTTTCTCACCATTTACTCCAGTAGTTGTAAACTTTGATGAATTTCTTTCTTCTGTTGAGCACAAATCAAGATATCGTGAAGAATGTTGAAAAAATCCATTGACATCCATAGCAGGAACAAAAAGTACTATACTGAGTACTATCGAGTACTAGTATCGAGGGCTGAGGACACTGTTTACAATAAAGCATTAGTGCTCTTGAAGTTGCCATCAAACCAGGTGAATAATATATAATATATAACTGAGCTGAATATCGTAAACTGTTGTATTCATCCTGTAGAGTACCAGGGGATATCGATGAAGTGAACGCTCTCAAGCTGCAGGTGGACCAGTGGAAAATTCCAGAAAACCTCTCTGATCCTAATGTCCCAGGTGAGAAAATAAAACATGATCAAAGTATTATATATCCAATCAGATTCTTGAAACAGCCCTGAATTTTATTCAGAAGTCGTTTTTGCTTAGCCCTGCTCTCGAAGGCCATGATGTCAAGCTTCAGCCAGCTCAAATAGAGTTGACCAGATTTAGGCAGATAGCAGGTTTTTAGTAGCTGATTCAGGTGTTTTACCCTTTGGGTTTCTTTGGTTCAAAATGATTAAACAGTTTATGTTAAATTTGACTTTTTTTGCTTCATTGAAAAGGAATAGTGATTTTTGCTGCATTAGTTATGTGAACTAGCAAAATAATCATAAGGCATGATTTGGTTGTTTAGTAGTCAAAAAAGGTCACGCATGGCTCCTTTACAGTCAAAAATGATCAACAGGAATTAAAGTGGGAAAAGTGCTGAAAATATCAAACCTGCAAAACAGACACCAGTGTGTACACATTGAAATAAGATGGCATTTATTGAGTAAACTGGATAAAACACAGATTAACTGCAAATGTTTGTTTACGTGTTCATTCTTATTCAACCATTTTTATTATTTAATAATATTACATTATTTCATGTTTTCATTTGTAAAGATTTTGAATATTTGAATTTTAATGCAAAAATACATTTTGTATTTGTTTTACCACTTTCAGATGGGACTATTCTCACAGCAAACAAATTTTAAAGGCTTCACTGTATTTAATGTAGAATTTTGAAACTGTTAATATTATTATAAAAAGAATAGTGCTGGGCAAAGATTAATCGCAAGCAAAATAAAAGTTTGTCTTGACATTTGTGTGTATTGTGTATATATACACAGTCTGAATGCTTACAGAAATCAGAATTATTAAACCCCCTTTGGCATTTTTTTTTATATATATATTTCCCAAATGATGTTTAACGGAGTGGGGACATTTTTACAGTATGTCTAATTATATATTTCTTTCTTCTAGAGAAAGTTTTTGTTTTATTTCGGCTAAAATAAAAGCTGTTTTTAATTTTGTTTAAAAACCATTTGAGATTTAAGGTCAAAATTATTGGCCCCTTTAAGTTTTTTCTTTGGATAGTCTACAGAACAAACCATCATTATACGATAACGTGCCTAATTACCCTAATCAACCTTTTTAAGCCTTTAAATGTCACTTTACGCTGTATAGAAGGGTCTGGAAAAATATCTAGTCAAATATTATTTACAGTCATCACGGCAAAGATCAAATAAATCTGTTATTAGAAATAAGTTTAGAAATGTGTTGAAAATAATTCAGGGGGGGCTAATAATTCTGACTTCAACTATATATATATAAGTTGAAGTCAAAATTATTAGCCCCCCCTTTGATTTTTTTATTTCTTTTTTAAATATTTTCCAAATGATGTTTAACAGAGCAAGGAAATTTTCAGAGTATGTCTGATAATATTTTTTCTTCTGGAAAAAATCTTACTTGTTTTATTTTGGCTACAGTAAAAGCAGTTTTTAATTTTTAAAAAAAGCCATTTTAAGGACAAAATTATTAGCCCTTTTAAGCTATATTTTTCCTGATAGTCTACAGAAGAAGCCATCATTATACAATAACTTGCCTAATTAGCCGAACCTGCATAGTTATCCTAATTAACCTAGTTAAGCCTTTAAATGTCACTTTAGGCTGTATTGAAGTGTCTTGAAAAATATAAAGTAAAATATTATTTACTGTCATCATGGAAAAGATAAAAGAAATCAGTTATTAGAGATGACTTATTAAAACTATTATGTTTAGAAGTGTGTTGAAGAAATCTTCTCTCCGTTAAACAGAAATTGGGGGGAAAAAATAAACAGGGGTGCTAATAATTCAGGAGGGATAATAATTCTGAGTTCAACTGTATATATAAGTAATAATAATAAGACTGAAAATGCTGAAATGTGAACACTCTCTGTCTCTGTGTCAGCGTCTCTTTTAAAGTTGTGGTACAGAGAGCTGGAGGAGCCGGTGATTCCACAGAGCTTCTATAAGCAGTGCATCAGTCATTATGAAGATCCAGACGCAGCTGTCAATGTGGTTCAATCTCTGCCAGAGCTCAACAGACTGGTGCTCTGCTACTTAATCAACTTCTTACAGGTAAAACCCAGCAACATCAACAAAATAGATGAATGATTCATTTAATTCTCAAGTCGATTCAAATCACAAATTTTGTTTTCACAGTTTACTGCGTTTCTTTGTGAAATTGAAATGTAATTTAAATTGGAAAACAAACCCCAAATCAAAAAAGTTACAGAACTACTTTCCATTTAAAAGTAGAGGCAAGTATTGGATTTTAACCATAGTCCAAAGAAAGATGCCACATACATACAGCATAAGACGTTTTTTAATCTACATTATACTGTACAAATTTGGCGTAAAAGCAGAAGGGTCTTTTATTTGAAACGCAGATTCACTCTGTGCCATGATGATGATGTTTGTTTATAAAACTTCACTCAGAGACAAAATGAACAGAAAATACTTTTCCAAAAAGAGTCAATTCGCCTCAGAGATTCATCCGAATAAAATCCTACTTAGACCATTTATTTGTCACAAGACTGTGGTTCATTGTAACATCCCTTACACCCTGTCTTTCTTACCCCAGGTCTTCGCTCAGCCGGTGAATGTGAGTAGGACTAAGATGGACGTGAACAATTTGGCAATGGTGATGGCTCCAAACTGCCTGCGCTGTCAGTCTGACGATCCCCGAATCATCTTTGAAAACACACGCAAAGAGATGTCCTTCCTCCGCATACTCATCGTCCACTTAGACACCAGCTTTATCAAGGGCTTAATCTGAGAGTTTGCTCGTTTGTGGAGAATCATCCAGGAGATGATGGGAATCGAGACGAACGATTCTCATTTTCAAGTTCAGCCAACGTTTTAGACTCACGTCGTGACTCACACAGACATTATTTGAGCTGAATCATTTGACTCATTTGATTGCTCAACAAAACAAATGCATGAGCTTTGTCTATTCGGGTTTGCCATTTCTTCTGGATCAAATCAGCAGGGAAATACCTTCTTCTGACAATCATAATTGTAATAACACTCCTGCAATAGGACTTGCAGAGTATTTCCTTAATTTAATATGGTATGAGTGTTCGGACTATTTAATAACAGCTGTTTGTAAGCTCAAGTATGAGTGCAGAGAGAATTGCTGGCTCCAGTTTTGTGCACAAGGCTGAAGTGAATTAATATTGCAGAGCTCACATTATCAAGCATGAACGGTGAACGCTTGAGGTCTGGTGCCTTAAATGGAGAATGTTTGCCTGTGTAGACGATTCATAAGTGCCCATGTACATAAACACGTCCTCCGTGTCCCAGGCTCCAAACAAACCACAAGCAGTTTTCAATCTGTCCCAGGGTGGCTTTCCCAGTCGCTCTTTCGTGAGGTAGAAAATCGTCTTTCCTAATGTGGGTTGGCTCTATCGCTGATGATTAAGCACTAAACTATTGCAAACAGAACCAGACTGGAAGATCTGCTACATGTTCCCTCCATCGTAAAATATCTGCTGCTCTGACAAATGATTCAACAACTACAGCGTAGCCAAGAATGTCATGTTCAGATATGCCTAGGTCTAATAAACCATTTCAGAAGCAATACAGACCTGAAATACTGTATATGCAGTATGCTACATACTATATGCAATCTTAAAAACATAAATATTTTGCCAACTCGTCCATGCGGTCTGGTCTTACATGCAGTACTTAAAGCTAATGTCAAGCCTTTAACACCTAATTACTAATAATAGTTTCAAAAGGTTTTCTGTAAACAATTCCTGTCTGCCATTGGTTAAACAATCAGATAGCCCTGCCCCAAAAATAAAATAACAGTCTAAACACTCAAACTAAATGTTTACATGTTAGGGCAATTGATCAAATAATCCAGTTTTTTGCTAGATTATGTTGATAATGTGATGTGGATGGTTAAAAAGGGGATGGGGTCACGGTATCACCCAAACTCTCACACACCCAGTAGCAAGCACACAATCATAACACCACAAGATAATTGAACAGGAATGAAAATAATGCTGCAAAGGATGAAAGTCTAACAACATGCCAGTTGTTCAGCTGACAAGTTTTTTTTTTTCTGAGAGGACTAAATAATCAGCAGATAAAAACTTTAAATAATCGTGAAAACATTTACAATCTAGGACATTAATTCCGTGCCAAAATGACTGTAAGTCTGTCCCGCACTGCTATATTTTAAATTCAGTATAGTGTTTACATCACAGGTGTCAAACTGAAGAGCCACAGTTCTGCACAGTTTAGCTTTAACCCTAAATTAACACACCTGACCAATCTAATTGAGTCCTTCAGGCTTGTTTGAAACCTACAGTTAAGTATGTTGGAGTTAAGACCCGTGCACACAGAGATGTTTTTTGCTTGCGTTGTCCGTCAATGTTTAATGCCTCATGACTAAATAAAGTGCGCCAATGAGATTTTGCACACCAATGTGCAAAACAACAGACGTAAAAGCATCATTAAAAAAAAAAACTGCCTTTTGTTTTGACGCACCGCACCAAAACCTTCTCCACCAATCAGGTTGGCGCATTTGTTCACGTGCACGGAGCTGCTGAAGTTACAGTAAACAGCAATTGGAGGTGCTAAAGTGCAAAACTGTCAATGTGAGCACACATTGAAGAAGATACCCAGAGGCGATATGAACATGGAGCTGCTTATTGCTCTGGTGAACAATAATCATTTCTTCATCGCTAGAGCTAGAGCTGCTACTTAAACCATAACAACAAGCGTGTCTACTTTGTCTTCTTTGTCTTCTTGTGTGTTATAAGCGGATGTCAAAAGCTAAAGTTGTGTAGCGCCATCTAACATCAAGGACGGATTTTGCATACTCTTCTGCTCTACGCCAGTGAAAATCGCTTTGGTTTGAATCCGGAAAAACATCTTGAAAAACGCTGATAATAAACTCAAACACAAAGCGTCCCGGTGTGTAAGCTTTTAGGTTGGAACTAAACTGTGCAGGGCTGCGGCCTCCCAGGAACTGAGTTTGACACCCCTGGTCTACATAGACTAAAGCTCTTTTATAAGGAAGCATTCACACAGAATGCGCTTTCCCATTGCAATGCTCTACTTTCCCATTGTTTTTCTATGCAAACACACATTTGACCTGATCGTTATGCTTGTGTCTTTTGCAGCGCCTCTCACATTAGGACTTTCTCAGGGGCTAATCACATCGAACGGGTTTTTACATTGCAAAAACATGTTCGGTTCTTTTTAGGTTCTTTTTTATGTCGCTAGGCAATGACTGAATCAGCTGCGTATTGTGTGCGAGTGTTTGTTATTGTTATAATGTTAATATTTATTAATATTGTGATTTACAAAATTTGTTACGGCACACAGCTACGGATAACTCCGCAACTACTAGTCTCTCCTTCATCTTCAAAAGTCTCTGTAGTCATCTTGACAACATAAACACTGCAGGCACCTCAACGCAAACTTCGCCTTTACTTTCATTTGATTGGAGAATGAAAGAGATGTAACGCATTATTTTTTCCCACTTAGAGTTGACTTTTTTAAACTGTGAGCACACAGTAGAGGTCTGCTCACGCGGGACCCGACCAGATTTCTTGCAGCGCGGGAATAAATTTCAGAATAAAGCATGGGAGCGATCGGCAACTGGTGTAATTTGAATGGGAGTGGGCAGTCTAGCAATATCGCTCCTGACTCCCGAGCGAGCACGTGTGTGAATGAGAGAGCGTAATGCTGTGTTTAGCTTGTTTGTTGCTGTCTGTGTGTATGTATGTGAATGAAAGAGAGAGCTTGGTGCTGTCTATGTGTGTGTGTGTGTGTGAATGAGAGAAAGAGCGTGATGCTGTCTGTGTGTCACTTGCTTGGTGCCGTGTGTTTATTTGTGTTCATACAGACAGCTAGTTATAGGCTGTCTGGACTCTGTATAGTTGGGTGTTTTTTGGTCCCCCACCCCCAACAAATACTGAATATAAGTGGGAGCGGTCATGTTCATAATAAAACCTGGCCGGAGCGGGCGAGAGCGGGATTAGTCCCGCCCAGATCTCTAGCACACGGCGAACAATGGCAAAAACGCAAGGCGCAGCAGGCGGTTAAGACACGAGGCACGTAGGGTGCATAAGCAGTGCACAAAACACTCTCAGCTGTTAGTAAATCATTCAAAAATGACACCTCTCAATGCAAAAGGCATGTTCGGTGTGATCGGCCCCTAATTCTTCTTGAGATTTTATTGGAGTTGAGAACCAAAAAAATGGTGCATTTCCTACAACTACATACTTCAGCTTTTATACACATTGCCACTCATCAATATCAGTTCCAAAGCAGTGGACGAATCAGAAGAACGCAGAGGCGGACGGGGCAAGCATTGCGAGCTTCTGTTTACAGTAGCAAGTTGGCAAGACAAACATTTTATTTGACATTAGCATTGGGCAAGAGATGCTTTATTTTCACTGGATTCTGGGTTTTTAGAAGCAAAGACGCATTCCTTGTGAATGCCCCCTTAGTCCGCTTATATAGCACACTTAAAAGAGAGAATGAAATGAGAATGTGTGCCATCTTCAAGCAAAACGGGTATGCATATTCACTAGCGGCTAGTCAAGGCTGCATCCAAAATCATACACTTTCTTCCTATAGACCATTTCAATGTGGTGATGTCATTGAGCCATGAACATTTCCAGCTTGTCAAACTATTTCATAACTAACAAGAGGCAATTCATTCATAGCTTAATATTAAAACAGCGATCATAACATTATTCATCAATATGTAAACCTTTTTGCATTCTCGGAAGCTATAAAAAAAATTCAAAATGTAAAACAAGAAATACGTAAGGACCATTGGTATTGTTTACATCCCTCAAAATGGCCTATGTAGTATGTGACAAGATGATTGTCAATTTAAATAGTATGCAGAAACAATTAGACAAAAACCATGTCAACATAGTGAATGTTCTACATCTCGATTTCATTCAAACCTCGTATTATACACACATTAGTATTATATACAATATGCGTTTTGATGGTTATGAAATAAATGGTTCAAAATATATAAAATAAGCATCTTAACACTGAAATTAAGTATTTTACTGTTTGTTCAAACTATTTAAAATCAGTTGAAACAACACAACTTCAAAATTTTTGGGGGGGAATAACTTATTTTATGTTTGATCCACTTCAATTTGTAAAAAGGATCAAGTTAACTTAATCGACTTGTGATGGGAAAACATGAAAGAATTGTTGGGAATTTTTAACAGTGAAGAGAGTACATGATTTTGGATGCAGCGACTAAATTTATATTGGTTGAATTTCTATTTTTCAGCTGGAAGGGCATCTGCAACGTTAAACGTGCTGGATAAGTTGGTGGTTCATTCCCTGATTAATAAAAGAACTATGTCGAAAAGAAAAAAAATGAATGAATTCATTATTGCAGTGCATTATGGGATTGAATGAGTGCACTCAGGGATTTTAATCACCACTTAAAACTGTTATTCCCTAAAACAGTGCACTATTTAAGAATATACAGGCTATTTTTTAACCCATTAAGATGTTATCTACACATATTTGTGCCATTAAACGTATTCTCTTCAGGTTTCTGACCCCAAATGTACTATTGATATAATATGTTGTCCTCCATCAGCTCTGGCTATTGTATATAACACATGTGATGGACAGTTGTGTTTCTAAAGCTGAACGGTGAAATATGTGAGCCTATTTCTTGAACTACTCCTTCAGTCCCTCTCTCTCCGCCTATGATCACTGCAGATAATCTTACTGTTCATGATCCTTGAGGGTTTTGTGTCTTATTTTGTTCTATATGTGAGGATGTATGTAGGAGACAGCAGTGAATTATGATGAATGATGTGTGGTTCAATTTCGTAGTTTCCTAAAGAACTGAAATAAAATTTGTAAATTTGTATAGTTGTACATAAGTGGTTCCGAGTTTCACTTCCTTTTGACCTTTCCAGAAATGCAAACACACACAGCGAGTTTGACAGAAAGCAATACGAACAGGTTCTAAATGTTTATATACTCTTACAGTTTATTTATCCAGTTTAGCCCAAACATGAACTGCTAGTTTGATGGTTATGGGACAATTGATTGATTTACACACCTTTTATCACTTAAAAAAAAAGAGATAAGTTCAGCCTACAATGTAAATTTAGGCCTACTCACCATTGAGTCAACCTCAAGGTGTAGTGTTGAACGCAAAGGAAGATATTTGTGGACACCAGTAACCACATCAGCTGTGTAAAAAAACAAATTGGCTACTATAGAAATCAGTGGTCAGTTTATTATTATTTTTTTTTTCAAAATAGCCTCTTTTGTGTTCAACAGAAGCAAGAAACTCAAACAGGTTTGTGACGAGTAAAATGTGAGTAAATGCTGATAGAATATTCCGTTCTGGGTGAAGCAGAGCTCTGCCGACATCTTGTGGCGAAATCAAGACTCTCCTTTAAAGAAATATTCAACCAAAAAAGGAAAATGTGTAGTTACTTCACTTACCCACCAGCAGGCAATCCAAAATGTAGGTGACTGTGCTTCTTCAGTAAAGTGTTAACACTTATTTACTGTTGGGGATGTTTTCATCCACTCTGGGATGATTTTGAGTCTTAATCTGGCCATAACTTTTTTTTTTGTTTCAGCAAGCGGAATGATTTTTAGTGACAAATCGGTAACACTTAACTACACTATAAACCATTTTAAAAGCATTAGTGAATAGTGAATTCATTATCTGTTGAGTATTAATTCTACATTAATAAACGTTAGTAAGCAGTTTATTCTCATTTGTGCATGATTGTGTTTTCATACTTTGTTAAGGATTTATTTTTTATGACTAAAAGCATCACATTATTTACAAACCAGTTATTTAAGAATAGTTGGTTTTTTAAGCTTATTCAGAAAGCAAAAGAAAATGATTAAACTATTCAAATGAACATTTATAATTCTTATTGTTCAGGCATACTCGTAGTTAGTGTGTACGTAATAAATGCATATTCAACTTCATCCAGTTTTGTGACCTACTCTAAATTGAGGACTATTTATGCTTTATAAACTAAAAAATTGATAAATTAAAGGCTGGGTTATATGTTAAATTGGAATAAAGAGCATAAACAACTTTATTTATTTCTATTCATTTTAAGATACACAAATTCAACTTTATCAAATGAAAAATCTAAAATAAAATTACTGTTAATATTATTATATTGTTGTTTTTATCCAATTTTGTGTTGTATTTTGACACCAGCAATGTTTAAATTTACAGTAATTATATATATTTTAGATAAGTTTGCAAAGATTATTGTTCATTTAATATTGAGCCTTTAATTGTCAGTTATTATGGATTTATAAAGCAAATAGTCTTCACTATTCTTCACTATTGCACAAAACTGCAAGAAGTTTTTTTTTTTTTTTTTTTTTTTTTTTTTTTTTTTTTTTTTACATAAAGCATGTATTAACATATATAGTAACCATTACTATACATTCTCCGAAATAAAGGAGAATGTCACTGGGGTGGTACCTTTTCAAAAGGTACAAATGTGTACCTAAAAGATACTTATACCTTAGGGGTACATATTAGTACCTAAAAAGTACAAAAGTGTTTCTCTTAAATTTCTTAGGTACTTTTGAGGTATCAATATGGACCCTTTAAATTCAAATGTGTACCTTTTAAAAAGGTCCCACCCCAGTGACAGCTATCGTACCTTTATTTCTGAGAGTGTATGCCTAAATAATAAGTTGCATAAACTATAAAAATATATAGTAATCATTTACATGTCCAAGACTGTGATAAAAGATTTTAAAATTCAGTCCAGAATTACTTTTTACATTGAAAGTTTATCATTTTGTTTGTTTTTCACCAAATCAGTGACATCATTTATGAATTTGGCAATTAAATAGTTAAATAATTCCTGTAATTTTCTAAACAATTTAATAGTTTTTATCAGGACTGAGGTTGATTAACAGATTTATGCAAAAAAAATAAAAAAATTAAAATTAAACAAAATATTTATCTGATGCATTTTTAAAGCAGTTTAATTTACTAGATGTTTTCCTCCCTAACATAACAAAAGGGTAATTTTGAACACTGCACAAGGACTAAAGAATAATATATTGAGCATTGTCTGCCTCAGCAAATGTGGGACGAGTTATAAACAAATTTACTGATGGAAAAAGAGTGTCACATAAAAAGCTGTTACAATATCTCAGTACTATAAGCTTAATTCCGAATTTCAGCTGTGATTTCCTAAGCAGTGGCTGTGTGTCACTCAAATATGTCATTTGTTTTAAATTAAATAGATGGTTCACCCCAAAATGAACATTTGTCAACATATGATGATTAAATAAATGAAATTTTAAGTTTTGGGTGAACTGTCTCTTTAAGATCAAGAAAGCATCTAATTATGTAAGGTTACTAAAAACAAAATCATATTTGGGGGAAGTAAGTTTGTTCCTGAATGTATTTTAGTAGTCGCTATACAAAAGGGGAAAACATAGCCTATAACGTAATAATTTACTAATTTGTATTTTATAGTAAAAAAATAATAGCATACTTTAACTCGTTGTCTAATAGTAATCAGAGAATTCCTCAGAAAGTCCACATAACTCAAACTCACAGTGAAAAGCGTCTCTCCAACAGGCTCAATGACTCAAACAGCTTATGAAAGTGCGAGAAACAGAGAGGACGCGCCTGCGCAGACAGACTCCACCTCGTGGACACCGGCCTCGCTGCTCGCGCCGGAGAAAACAAACTGCGTGGATGAAGGCGCTCTCAAAGCATGCGACTTAATGCACTCTCGGCGCATTTGGACTCGCTTTCTTCGGTTTCGGAGTACATTCATCTGCAATAGAGGTAATGCTGGCTGTGTTTATATACTGCAAACGAATAAGCAGCTGTCTCCGGCGGTTAGTTTGTAGGAATTGTGAATTTGATCATTTTAATGTGATGATGCTACTCTGTTAAAACGAAACTTGCCTCCGTGCATGTGTTCCCCGTTTGATGGTAATGGGAGCCGTGGAAGTGATTTTGTCAAATAGGTAATTAATGAAAATTGTCGGCAGTTACAGTCATGCTTATTTGATAGGTCGTGATGAATGCACATTTAGCGCTTCTTGGACCGTTGGAAGACTTTTGTTCGACTCATCATTATGGTAGTCCCATGCAGCGAGGAGTAGGCCGAGCGGAGGCCGCTGAGTGTCAGCTTTGATTGACAGGCGCGAAGCCCTATCAGAGCGCTGCAAGCAGCGTCAGACAAGGCTCCGAACCAATCACACGCTTTGCTGTTGTTGCGCACCGTTGTCGGCAACTGAACAATGTAACGTCAAAATAGGCATTTAAAATGTCAAGCTAATTAAATATACTTTATTCAAGAGCTCGACTCATTGTCTTTACATTCAAATCGTCTAGCATAGCATCTGTGTTTGCTTCTGTCAGTTCGCAACGTCAAGTTCGCAGACAACGTTGCACCCACGTTTTCTTCGCTTGCGAAGTGGAGGAAAAGTCAAACGCCTGAATTCACTCATTTTCGTTGATATTGCCTTATGTATTATCAAATTGGTGTTTATTTTCAGTCATGGCTGTTCAATGCACTGATTATGACTTGTTATGACAGGCATGGGAAGATGAGCCGCTGGCCTGACAATGTAAACAACGAGGAGGAAACGTATTGCGCGCCATTTGCGTCACGCAGCGTGCCAGCTATTCTCGACGCGCGTGCCCGTTAAGTGATAGAAATTAGGAGACGGTGAATGCGTGGATTTAATCGAATGTGCCGGTTTCCCGCGATTATGACGTATCGAGAATGTATGCGTCCTGTAGGAACGTGTCGATCCACGAGGACGGACACGAGCCCGGCGGTTGCGCGCGCAGCACTAGATGAGCACGCGAGGCGATTATGAAACTTAAAAGACGCGGACGCGCTTTTATGTGATGATGATGATGATGACAAGCATTTGATTTGTTTGTTCGTAATGAGTTTTTCTTTATTATTAACGTTCCAATGATTATGTATAAATGTATTTAGTGCTACAATGTTCACTTCCCTTTTCCCTCTTCAAACTGGCCACTTAAATCTTAATGTTTTCTCCAATTCTTTTAGCAGACTTGGAAAAAGTGCTTAAAGGACACACATAATAAGAATTATGTCATCGTTAACTTATCCTCATATCTTTCCATAATATTACGTTTCAGTCCAGTAATTCTAAAAATAAACTACTGAGAGGCAAAATACACTTTAGAGATTGGGGAACGGTGTTTACTTACTGTTAAATGTTTGCTTCTGTGCTAAAATGATGTTAAATTTAATGGTCAGTATATATAACATATTATTATTACCGGTAGTTAAAAAGCAAACACAGTATTTCCTGTTGTGGATAATCAGATAAATACTATATATATATATATATATATATATATATATATATATATATATACACTATAGTATATATATATATATATATATATATATATATATATACACTATAGTATATTATATACTAGGCCTACTACTGCAAATTAAATTAATAATAATACTAATATAATGTTTTTGGTATAAACTTTTAGTGTCCTAAAAGTAATGTTTTGAACAATGTAATTAACTTTTAATACATTGTTATTTTTTGCTATTCATTTAAACAGTGTGGTTAATATTAGCACTTTAGTATTATAGTTATCAAAATGCAGTTTAAAATTTTAAAATGCCATTATAGTAACGTTATACACTGACTAAGAATATCTAAGAATGTAAATGCACTGTTTACAGTTTACAAGATGAGCTCAGTGGATATATATATATATATATATATATATATATATATATATATATATATATATATATATATATATATATATATATATATATATATATATAAGAAACTAGAGATTAGATTCACATCCTACATTTTAAAAGTAGCATGTTATAGAAAATGTTCAAAATAATAAAAGTATAAAATGTATCATAAATTATTAAAATAAATATATTTGTTTTAATATGTAATAAAAATGTGCATGTGCATATATTGTTAAATTATTTATATAAAATGTAATTTAGTAATCAAACAAAGTATTTATTTGTATTATTTACATTTTGTCCCACTTCAACAGTAATCTGCAGTAAGATTATTGATCTGCCAAGTGTTAAAAAGCAGGGAATTAGATTTTCAAGGTTATTGCTAATTTGATATGGTAAATATAATGTAGAGTTAGGGCTGGGTGATATGTCAAAAATGCATTTTTAATTATTATTTTCCATATTGAATGATAAACATTTTGTTAGGAGTTGTTAATGCTTCCAGATTTAAAAGAGTACCCTAACAACAACTGAAGCCACAACAATTTTAGGGTACATTAAATGGCGTAACATATTTTCAGCTAATGATTTTTCAGTGGCTGAAAATTTGGTACATCTCTAATATCATCACACGTCTAGATTTCTATTTTGTGATTGGCTGTTGCATCAATAAGAGTTAAAAAGTCTAGAGCTTATCATTGTTATTGACATAAATTTTATTGCGATTTGATATATTATTGTTTTTTGTCCCAGCCCTCTGTAGAATCATAAATTCTTCTTAAAATTCAAAATAGTAAATCAATTTTGTTGAAATAGCATATACAGCAGGCTAAATTCATGTTTTTAAAGTTAATTAAATATATATATTTTTAAATTGTATTTTTGTTCATAATCTATTTTTGACCACTCAGGCATGTCTAAACTCAGTCCTGGAGGGCCGGTGTCCTGCTAAATTTAGCTCCAACTTGCTTCAAAACACGTGCAGGAAGTTTCTAGTATATCCACTAAGAGCTTGATTAGCTGGTTCAGGTGTGTTCGATTAGGGTTGGAGCTAAACTCTCCAGGACACTGGCCCTCCAGGACTGAGTTTGGAGACCCCTGGCAATGAACAGTTCTGAAATCTGACAAGCTTCCATACTGCTGCCTTTTTTTTTGTTAGGGTTCACCATATGCTTTCGTCAAGCTTAACTCTTTAATTTAATATCGAGCAAGGTAGGGAAGAGAAAGAAATCTAGCTAGAAGACTAATATTTATAAACTATTTTTTTTCTAATTAAGGCATTCAATGATATCAGAAATATATGCAAAAAAGGTTGATTCACATTTTTTGTAGTCAACCATAGCTTTAAAAGAATAAAATAAAAACCTAATTGGCATGGTTTAGTAGTAGAGAAGTGCATCTGCATAAAATATCAAATAAAAATAACAAACAAATAAACAGTTCTTTATGATTTCCTAGGCAGTCTAAAAGTATTCAGGTATCAAAATCGAGCAATCAAATGCAAAATAACACTGTAGTTTTCATTGTATGTATAAATCCATAAATATATACGCGCATAAATATATAAATGCGTAAACAGTCACAAGCCCTAAAAATATGTCAATGATAAACTTTCACTCTATGGTTAAACTTTGCAATGACTCTTTAAATCACACGTGGTCTGTGGTGCTGGTTGAATATAATCCCGACTTGACATCCTGCAATGTGACTATTAAGGATGCTCCTATTATGATGTCGAATCGATGTTGAAGTGATATTTTGTGCAGTCCTAAATGAAAAACCTTGTAGACTTTATTATGATGACTAATTATTTATGAGCCTATGTGTTAGGTTGACCATAACGTTTTTGACCTACGACCTCATGATGTGTTTTTCTTCTGTTACAGGTTGCTGATTGTGTGTGTCCAGCATGACAAAGAGTCCTCCTAACAGGCGTGGGATCGTGTTTGAGGTGGGAGCGCAGCTGGAGGCCAGAGACACCCTGAAGAACTGGTCAGTGTCTCTCTTCTGCCTCCTTCCTCCATTCATTAACTCACTCACTCCGACTGATTGAAATTCACATGCTTCACTCATGCTGGTCCTACAAAAAAAACAAAAAAAAAACTGTAAAATTGCTCAATGTATTCCTGGACAAATCTAAAATTCAGCTATAGGGCTGCATGACATTGAAAAATAATAATATTATGATATTTTCACAAATTCTCTAAATGAATAGCTTTTTTTGAAAGCATAATCTTAGGTTGATAAGGATTGGTTGATGATCGGCATTGGGTTGATTCTGCATAACACATAATAAGCAGTGGAGATGTTGTGGAGTATTCAGACACTGAACTTGAATAATCAACTGTAAAATATCACTGTATAGTCTAAGTAAACAAATAAGCTTTGTAATCTAAAGGTACAAATATAATTTTATATGCTTAAATTCTTGTGTAATGCTTAATTATCACCGGTCAACATGCAAATGGTAAATTTTCATTTCACTATGGATAAACTTTGCAACAGCGAACTGTTGTACCTGATCAAATTCAATCCTGACTGGTGATGTTTACATTGCTATATCCATGCTGAAACGATATATAGTGCAGCACATTGTACAAGATTTGTGCTGTACTAGTTTATTAAAGAGAGCATATGATTTTACATTGTGTCTAAAGACAGCATTGTTCTTCATTATTTTTCTTGATTGTTCAGGTTTCTGCCTTGGCAGTTGGCATTATGGCAATGGCATACTATTCAAGTACTGTGTTTTAATTGTCTTAACAAATAAAACCAAACATAATCTGTTTACTTCCTCGTCATATTAGGCAGAAACATTCAGAAAACACTGAATCATGGAGCTAGGTTCTTGTAATAGCTCACCTGTATTTGGCTTACAACAATTTTGGAAAATGCAGCACTGAACCCCTAAAAGTTTAATGACATCTTTAAATGCACATCAGAATTGTGATTCTCAGGTGCATGTGTAGTGCCAGATTCACAATAAACGTGTGACGCAATAAAAGTTAATCGCCATCAAACAGTATTTTCAGACTGAACTCTAAGAGCTCTATTTCTACGATCTAAGCACAAAGTGTAAAGCCTGGTTTATACTTCTGCATCAAGTGATCGGCGAGACCCACTGCGCATGCAATGCGCGTAGCCGTGCATTTATACTTCTATGTGCTGTTTCTGTTGCTCTGCTATAACACTTAAGAAACGCTGGCTGGCAGTTGGTGTTTATGTTCCTTTGTGTTGTTTCTTCGCTAGTGTTTTGTTTTTTAAGTGGCTGGAATCGGTGGGCGTGCAACAACTTTTTTCATAAGTTGGAACACAAAACAACAGTCTCCATCCAGGGACTCCACACTTGTAAACCCTCATCAGTGCTACCAAGCTGACCAATCTCAGAGCTTGCGATATGCTTCGTTGCAACTTGTGGTTACATTTTTTTTTAAAGGTGCGCGTCAGTGTCGCCCACTAGGAGGGCTATGCACCCACACGTAGGCTGCGCCATAGCATACACGTGCGCTTGATGCAGAAGTATAAATCAGGCTTAAAGCGCATGGCGCAAAAGGGTGTGTCTGAATCCACTTTTGCGATTTAAAAAAAAAAAATACAGTCTACGGCCGGGCGCATGGTCTAACAGGCTTATGCTTATTCTCTTAATGAGTTATGGGTGTGTTTTGAGCATAACGTGCATTAAACCCATCAGTCTCATTTTCCATTCCCTTTAGGAGTCATTTGCGCATTTGCTATTAACATGGCAGACTTTGGAAAAACTGAACACTTCAGTGGTGAGTAGGGCTGTAACGATACACGATATAAAATCGAAATCGCGACACTCAGATCTACGATCCTGTGTCGCGGTGTGATAAGGGAGAATCGCGACACACTCCGTGACTACCTTTCCAATAACGTCACGCGTGCCTGCAAAAGTTGAGCTAATTAATACTTTTTTTCGTTCGACATTACAAGCACTGCTCCGTTTAAGCCCTCGCAATATTTAGCCGCGAGAGCTCGCATGGAGCTCTTAGTAAGGGACCGTCTGAATGTGTCAGGGATATCAAAAACAAAACTAACTTAACCCCGCTTGACAACAGACAACGCCAGAAACATTGCCAATGCTGTCAAAGCGGCCGGATTTTCAGCGCATATACGATGATTTGCTCACACTGTTAATGTGGCTGAGCAGAGAGGGATGGGCATTCACCAGATGTCAGGTAACAGCGCAAACTTTTCTGTAACCGTGCTGTGCGATTTCTGTTTGAACCTTTGAGAGTGCTGACTGACAGGTGCGACGAAGCTTTCAGTTAAGATGAACACAGTTTCACAGTTTCTATAGTTATACTTTATTTAGAGATAAAGGTATATGACTCTGCATATAATCACTTCACAATCTTGCTGGAGTTTATAGCCATTTCGCTTTACTTCAGGACGCATTAACACGGCTCTGAAGGTCTAATCGCTGTTTTAAGTTATCCAGAGCTGTATGAATATATAAATCTTGAATATCACAATAGTATTAAATATTACTATTGTAACAACACAGACAGCAACACTTTTGCGCAATTGATACCCAGCTGATTCAGTCGTTTATAAGAGGACCGCGCCTCTTATTTTTTCCTTGTCAACATAAAGGCAGTGAATTGCGCCTCGTTTTCGGCCACTTGTTTAACTGCAAGGCATACTTAATTTGCGGGACGATAACGTATAACCCGTGCCTACAGACACATTTGCCAAAGAAGCAAAATGGAAGAAGAATATTGCTGTTTGATACAGACCTGTTGATGCTAAACCAGCGCTTATGTTGACCTGGATCTGCGTAATAAACGCAACAAATAGGCTTTACTTTTTATTTTACAGCTTAAAGCATGTACGCAGATTAATGCAATATCATATTTAAACAACAAAACTGTTTACATTAAGTCTACATATGAGCGCGTTGTTGCCGTCTTTTCATCACGCAGCGCGCACTTGAACCGCGAGGGAGAGAGAGGAAACCATAGGCTATATCAGGACATATTCTTTAAGATAATGATTTCTGTTAAAAATGTAAAAGGTTTTGTGATTATAATAATAACAGCGGGGCATTAAATAAATGCATATTTTCCGTGAAGCGAGCAATTTAAGGAAGTCAGCTATTTTTATTTGACGGAAGAAAAAAACATATGATTGGAAAAAAAAACCCATGCCGGTTATTAAAAAGAATCAGTCAGTATTTTCGTTTTGTAATATAAATTAATTATTTAAGTGAAAATAATTTAGGGCAGTCCTATTTATTTTATTCATTTTATTTAGATTATTCTGCTTTTCTGTGCTAAACACTGCAGGTGCGTGAAGATGCTCTGTTGTTCTGTTCCGCTATTAATATATAAAAATAAATCAGTATTTTAAAATGCAATATTTAATGTGTCAGACACAAAATAGACACGTCAATTTGTTTAATATAAAATTAATAGTAATCTGACCAGTTCACCGTTAATAACCGATTAATGAGCGGCGGTTGTCGGTTAGCAAAATTAAGGAAATGAGCATCCCTAGTAGCCATTTAATTTACTTTTTCTATGTAAGAGAACTTGATTGAAAAATAATTTTCAACATGCTTGAACCATCTAAACAATGCAGTTTAGTTCTGTTTGGTTTTTCAACAGTATTTTGTTACAAAGAAAACAGAAGTGATATAGCTTTGGCTATTTATTTATTTTATATATGGCTATTTTTTATTGTTAATAATTTGCATAGTTAATATTGTTCTTTGATGTTTAGTTTGTAAAGATTTTTCCAATGTTATTTAATAAAAAATAGTTTTAAAAATCTTTTTTTCCCACCCCACACGAAAAAAAATTAAAATAAATCGTGATACAAACCGAATCGTGGGTCAAAAATCGTGATACGAACCGAATCGTGGGTTTGGTGTATCGTTACAGCCCTACTGGTGAGAAAACAGTTAAACAGACCATCTGCGTAAGGATAAAGAATGAGCCTCCTTCATTTGGCCTCTTTACTTTCTCTTTACTTGACTTTTACTTTTTACTTTACTCCTTTACTTTCATGGAGTAAGGAAACGGTGTTGTGCGCAATCCACTGAAGATATCCATTAACCTGCATATTTATTTTTGTTTGTTAAGCACAAAGATTTGTTTCAAAATTTCTAAAATCTCTATTTCTAAATTCAGTTCTAATATTCAGCAAACTAATAAATTAACAATAATAACAAAGTGTGCTAAAACAACTAAGTTATATCCAAACACACGTTCTGTTCTTGTGCCCCATACGGTGATGGATACTTCTTTAAAATCCGACAGGTGGACAAATCTAAACTTTTTTATTAAAACAAATATAAAAATGCATATAATAATAAATAATACTAATAATAATAACATTATAATAATGCAAAGTATCATGAATAAACTGAAAAAAGCAGCATGAGATGAGGCATTAAAAGGGTGGTTTTTATATTTATGTTGAAAACATTCTGTGTGTTTCAAACAATGTGTGATCATTTAGACCTGCATAGGCGCGTAACTAACGCATTTTGTGCCTGACTTTAAACTAGCTTTTAGTTGGTCAGTGCGTGGTCTATTTCAGTTGTAAAATAGCAACATGCTAGAGCTGCACGATTCTGGCTAAAATGAGAATCGCAAATATATATATATATTTTTTGCTTAAAATAAAGATCACGATTATGTAGATGTAAATGAAATGTAAAAAGCTAAGTATGAGATTATTGTTTTTTCTCAAACATATGGTAAAACAACAATATTAATATTATGTGTAGGTCTACTGGTTTCTATAAATAATTCTTTTCTACTTATAATACTGAATGAATTATGTTTGAGATATATGCTTGTAATCTGTCATTGACAACATTATTAGACCATTTTATTCACTGGTAAAATCAACATTATATAGGCTTGAGTGGTTATACTGACACTGTAAACATTTATTTTCATGCAAAAATGTGTTCGCTATGAAAGAAAAACCAATCAAGTGCTTGTCACATTCATAACTCTAAAATGTGATCGGATTTTTTGAATGATGTGCACGCTTTCGATTTCCTCTTCTCTGCTAAGTGCTGTTCATACTTCACGCGGGGCTCTCAAACGATCACTCAGTGCCACAAAATTAATATTATTAACAACTTTATTACCTGTTACTCACAGCATATGCAGGTTCTGTTCACTAAAGTAGACGCGCATGTGTCTATCATTAAGTCGGGCACGCGCCCGCACATTTAACAACTCACGTCACATGTGATTTCCCGGCCACAAAAACAGCATTATAAGAAGACAAAAATGTCATATATAGGTGAATTATACCTTATAAATACAGTTTGTGACTCTTTTAACATCATTTGAAGGTTTCTGTGTCGCAGAGCAACGTGTCTGAAACAATGAAAAGACTCGTGCAGCCACCTTTGCTTCTCTTCTTAACTTAAAATATGATTGGCAGAATCACTGGATTTAGATCGTCTAGGGCAGGGGTCACCAATCTCGGTCCTGGAGGGCCTATGTCCCTACAGGGTTTAGCTCCAACTTGCCTTAACACACCTGCCTGGATGTTTCAAGTATACCTAGTAAGGCCTTGATTAGCTTGTTCAGGTGTGTTTCATTAGGGTTTTAGCTAAAATCTGTAGGACACCGGCCCTCCAGGAACAAGTTTGGTGACCACTGGTCAAGGGGGTCGAATCGAGATATCTTTTTTCGTTTAATGTGCAGCTCTACAACATGCCAAAAAGCGCCTGAAAACACCTCTTTTTCAGACTAGCACACCCATATGTTCACAAAGTAGTGCAAATTTGCTATTTAAACAACGTGGCGCAAAATGTAAAAATTACAGTTGCACTGGTCTGTAGGTAGCAGTGACCATAACAATTCATTTTGTCATGTTCTTTGGGCATTTTTGACCACTGCAACACTCATCCTGATCTTCTGTTTTATTCCTTGTTTATTTCCTATAAGGCTTTAACTTCATCCACTGCACTATATACAATGGTAAAATTAGACAATGCTTTATATGACACCAGAGACAAACTATGTATCATTCTTGCAGTTCTATTGAGACCCATTTCTTTGCAATTCCTTGCTACAAATATTCTGAGCTTGTGTTTTGTAGAAACTGACTTTTATCAGAATGTTCTCTGTTCTTAGACGAGACAAAACAAATACTCACACTTCTGGATTCTACGCTGGTGTTTCTTGGCTCTATGTAAGCCCTGATATATGTGATTGTCTGCACATAAACACAGTCCACTAATGAACATACATTGTGATTTATGGACATTCATTGAGATTTAGGTAAATAAAATGTATATTAACTGAAATATACAGAGACAAATCAGTGTGAGTATCGTTAATGGTGTTCTTTGTTCTGAAGATGGTCTGTAGTTCTGTAATGACCCAGTTACATATCCGTTCAAAAAAAAAAAAAGTTCTCCATACTCATTCATACTTACATCAGTATTTTAGTCAATGAAAATAAGGTTGAAAAATGTTTGTAGCCTATAGCTTGACACAAAAAAAAAACCTGACAGGTTCTCTGCGCTAGTAACATGACTGAAAATTATTTTGTGTGCTCTAGTCCGCTCATTTAATGAATGAACAGTGCATTATTGAAGACTAGAAGACTAACTACATGTAGTCAAAAGGATAAAAACCTGTACATTTTTGTTATAATCTAGATCGTTGTGCTGTTCATTCAGTAAATGAGTGGTTCAGAGTGTGCACATTGTCAAGTCAAGCCTAGCCACTCTACATGGCTTTAAACAACGGCAAGTCTCAGTGCCATTTAGACTACATGACTTGTTTTTGTGTCGTTAAACCGCTGTGGTATACACAGTACACAAATGATCCACAAGAGGGACTTGCACACTACACAATATAACAACAACTCTGTCCAGCCCACAAACCACAGCCACTGAAATGTTGAAGGTGGAGCAGTCAGAAAGAGCTGTACACTATTGGCTGCTTGTGTGATGATGACATTACTGACACGCAGCGTTTAAAAGCATCATCAGCGATCTGTCAGATAGAGGTAACTTTAAGGCTAATACCAATTCTATTTTTGAACCCTTTTTTTTTTTTTTTTTAAAGCATGACGGTAAAACACAAATGCGGTTATAAATGTATTAAAACATATGCCTGTCTGTTGTAAAAAACGTAATGACAAAAAATACTAATTAGTGCATCTCTTTCTTACTTCCGTGTGAAGCCATGCTGCCGTTGTACATGGTGTATTCTGAGAAATTTTCTTACCCCTTAGTTGTAAGTGTGGTCCTGAAACATCTTCATTTCAATGGGCTATCTAGCCATTCCCTTAAGCCCTATGCCTTCAAGCTAAAGGGAATTGAGACACCCCTACCCCTTTATGCAAACGCCCCTTCATTACTCTACACGATGAATGTGTAGAGTAATTCTCTTTGTGAACGACTAAGCTTTGTTACTGCAGATCAAATACATACATTTCATATCAAAGCATCATATGGTCTCTTTAAAAGCAAAGGTATATGGCAGATCTTTTCCGATCTGAAGTGGCTCACTGGTGTTTTGTATTGACAGGTACGCAGCCAACATAGAAAAGATCGACTATGAAGATGAGAAAGTTCTGATCCACTACAGACAGTGGAGTCACCGCTATGACGAGTGGTTCGACTGGAGCAGTCCGTACCTCAGACCCGTGGAGCGAATCCAGCTGAGGAAACAGGGGCTGAATGAACGACAGTGCGCTTCAGTGAGTACTTCCAGTCAGACCGTGCTGACTCATTCAGAGTCCGCATGGCCGAAGTCACACTCTTACTCATAAATGCTGCAAAATTACATTTAGATCGGTTTCTTTTCCCAGGGTTTTCAGGTCAACCAGAAAGTGCTAGCCAGCTGGTCTGACTGTCGCTACTACCCTGCTAAGATCCTGTCTCGAGACAAAGATGGTGCGTATTCATGACCTTCACAGTACCACATCTGGTTCTACAGGGTCCAGGTGCTGGATTTGTTTGTTTTTACAGAAAATAGATATTGTATGTTATTTATTTTATTTTATTCATTAAAACAAAACATATAGAGTCGAGGGCAAAATATTTTGCTCTCCTATGCAATATTTATTATTTTTCAAATATTTCTTAAGTGATATTTAAGGGTTTATGGGAAAGTTCCCAGAATTTCGGATATTTTTTCTTCTGGAGAAGAGTTTAATTGCTTTATTTTAGATAGAACAAAAGCAGTTTAAAAATTGTTTTAAGCTCAATATTATTAGCCTCCTTAAGCAATAAACTACAATTATACAGTGATTTGCCTAATTACCCTAATTAACTTAGTTAAGCCTTTAAATTGCACTTTAAGCTGAATACTAGTGTCTTGAAAAAATATTTAGTACTGTGATCTTAGAAAAGATAAAAGTCAAAATCTTTTAGTATTAGAAATGAGTTATTAAAACTATTATGCTTAGAAATGTGTTGAATAAAGTCGTATCTCCCTTGGGGAAAATTGGAGAAAACTATAAAAGAAAAAACATTTTAACAGGGGGGCTAATAATTGTGACTTCAACTGTAAGACATTTATTTAAAAAAAAATTAAAGTTGGCCTAAAAATGCATCCCATATTTCACAAAGATATTAAAGAGCTGTTTGAGAGCAGCAAAATAACCATTTTAGAATTGTTTTATTAGAAAGATCAAACTGAGAACTGGATTAATGATGTTGAAAATGTTGCTGTGCATAATTAATTATGCTTTAAAACAATTTTTGAGAAGTTATCTGAAATGGTAATATTTCACAATACTACTGGTTTTACTGTATTATATCAAATGCATGCAGTCATGTTGAACACAAGAAGACACATTTAGTATAATTTAGGAAAAAATCTTAATTCTTAAGTTATGACTGATACACTACCTGACAAATGTCTTGTTGAGAATCCCGGTTGTAAGAACCACACATAATAACTTTACGTCTAGTTGATCATTTGGAAAAGCGGCAGAAGGTACATTTATCGGCAGAAGGTACAAATCACAGAATACTTATTAGAACCCACATGAACCCAAGATTCTCACAAATATCAGTCAAGTTTGGTGAAGGAAAAATCACGGTTTGGGGTTACATGCGAGAGATCTGCACAGTGTATGCAACAGCCTAAGGTTTTAAAACATTTGTGCTGCCCATTATATTACAAAAACCACAGGAAAGGGCAAATTCTTCAGCAGGATAGAGCTCCTTCTCATACTTCAGCTTCCACAACAAAGTTCCTGAATGTAAAGAAGGATTGTTGGAGGATGCACCAGGATTGGCCAGCCCAGTCACCAGACATTAACATTATTGAGCATGTCTGGGGTAAGATGGATGACACATTAAAGATGAATCCAAAGAGTCTTGATAAACTCTGGGAGTCCTGCAAGAACACTTTCTTTGCCATTCCTCATGAATGAATTAAGTTATATGAGTCATTGCAGAGATGTATGGATGCAGTCCTCCAAGCTCATGGGAGTCATACACATTATTAATTATTTTTCCACTGTACCGTGACTTTATATTCTATACTGTGCACTATTTCTGTTAAGTGTCAAGACTTTTGTCTAAGCAAAGTCAGACCTTACTGTCCTCATTAAATAATTAAAAATCAAAGCATGATCATATTTTATTTTGCTAAAATAATCGTAATCTAGAACCCTTTTTTTTTGAAAGCTAGAAGTCAAGTTAATATTTGCTGTTCCTAAAACTTGAATAGGCAACAAGACTTTTGTCAGGTAGTGTATGTTATGCTTGTTTTATTTTATATAAAATGATTATACTATTAAACTTGTACATGTTATGACTTTGTTTATAGCATGTCAGTTTATTATTTCATTTTTATTTTGCTGGTATTTTAATTTATGTTATAGTAAACTTTGTTAATTACATATAATAATTGTATTAATATACATTATATTACATATAAATAATATGAAATATTTCAATGTATACTAAAATTTGTTAGATATATTTAACACTGTTAAACATAATCTTTTGCAAAGCAACAAAATAAATTCATATTTCTGCTCTTCGTTAGAATGTATTGATGCCAAAATTCACATGACTTATTAACATTTTTTAATATTAAAATTGAATTCAGCTAATTTAACGTTAATGGTGATAATTCCGATCATTTTCATAAAATTATATTTTATGCACCCAACTTTCCAGTAGTTTTGAGCTGCGTTTTTTTATTTTTTATTTTTTTTATGATGTTCTAGATTTCTACACAGTGAAATTTTTTGATGGGATCATCAAGACAGTGAAGGGAATTAAAGTCAAGCCGTTCCGTAAACAGGTAAAAAGTAATTCCCTTATCTGTAATAACCAGGCCATTCATTTAAACAACGTTAATTAGTGTGTTTTGATCTACAGAGCTCTGATGGAAGGAGCAATCAGCAAGCTCGAAAGCGTGCCGATCAGAACGAAAAAGAATTGAAACCCAAGGAGAATGGAAACAGCCGGCACAACAGCTCGAGACACAGCGTATCAGACCACGATGGAGAGAGCGAATCAGAGGCGGACGAAGACACCACAGTGATGGATGAGTCCACAGACCTCCAGAACGGCGGAGAGAAAGAAAGCACAGAAACGAAGATGGTAAACGATTCAGAGGTGAGTTCTGCTGAGCACCAGCCCAGTGAAGACCAGAACCAGCCCAGTGAAGACAAGACCGAAAACCTGGAGAATGGAAATGTAGAGATTAAAATAGAGGAGGAGGAAGAAGAAGAGATGGATGGAGGACAGGAGGAGGCTAAAGTACTTCATAATGGCATTGACAAGAACGATGAGCACAAGGGCGAAGCATCGGACGAAAGTCCTAGTTTGCCCAAGAGGACACGGAGCAGGACGGCAGATGGTGAGTTTGGTTTGGAGGAACATGCTGGTGTTAGATCTGAATTTTTGATTTGATTATGATTCAGACCCAACAGTTTCAACCTCTCTCACGCGCCAACAGATAGCAGTTCATAAGTAGCAAGTAGAGAGGGAGACAATATTAGTGGATGAGACGGTCCACACAAATAAAAGCTAAATGAGAGGTTTTGTAATGATCAATAAGATATTAATAAGAACACTCCACATTATTATTATTATTATTATTATCATTTTGGAAATAGGTTCATTTTACAACTCCCCTAGAGTTTAACAGTTAAGTTTCATCATTTTAGAATCCATTCAGCCGATCTTCAGTTCTGCACTTTTAACTTAGGTTACCACAACTCATTGAACCGGATTAAACCATTAGCATCTCACTAAGAAATGGAGCCCAAAGAGTTTTGAACGATGAACCTGAAATGCCTGGTTTTACACCACAATAATTCATTAGTATTTAAAAAAAAACACTCCACATTATTATTTTAGGGCTGGGCAATATGGCCTTTTCAAAAAATCCTAGATTTTTTTACACCAAAAAATAATTTACGATTTAATCAAATAATATGTGGAGTTGAAGGTTCTTAACCTGTACAATTAGCTTTAGGCATTGTATAATTAAAGGATATAAAAAATGCTAAAGAAAAAACTTTTCTTCAAAACCCTTGTTATTTAAAGATCAAATTCAGCAAGGTCTGGAGAGGGGTGGAGCTCAGAGTGGATTGTCACGTGTTAGAGTAAAAAATAATTTTAAGCACTCCAGTTAAAGGATTAAAAAATAGATTTATCACTCGGCTCTATTATACATACATTTTTTTGGGAAATCGGCTCATTTACGACTCCCCTAGAGCTTAACAGTTGAGTTTTACCATTTTTGAATCCATTCAGCCGATTTTTAGGTCTGGTGAGAGCACTTTTAGCTTAACTTAGCATAAATCCCTGAATCAGATTTTTGATAATCAAAATGATTATATAAACATTCATTCATACATACAGGGGTTGGACAATAAAATTGAAATGCCTGGTTTTATGTAGCAGTAATTCATTAGTATTTAAATGAACACTCCAAATTATTATTATGCATACTGTATATTATTTTTTGGAAATGGTTCATTTTGCAACTCTCCTAGAGTTTAACAGCTGAGTTGGCACTTTTGAGTTTAATGGAAAACTTGAGCATTTTAGCTTAGCTTAGCATAAATCATTTAATCGGATTAGACCATTAGCATCTCAAATAAATTGACCAAAGAGTTTTGATAATCATAATAATTTTATATATATGATTTTGTAATATTGTTGCTCTTGCTGCAGTCATGGTATGGCAGCAACATTTCTAGATAGTTATGCCAGAATGAGAGAAGGTTTCCTAGCCGTATTAGCCTGGAAAATACCAACTTTTCATTTTCTGTCGGTTAAAACAGGTTGTAACTAAAAAAAGAGTCAAGTTTTAAATGAGAGAATTATCAACATTCTTTGGTAATTTTTGAGCAAGATGCTAATAATGGTCTAATCTGATATTTACAAACAGAAAGAAGCACAAGAATCTTAACAACAATCCATTAAGGTCCCTTTTTACTTAAATATCTCTGTCAAAATCAATAATAATAAGAAAGTAATAATAAGAGCGTATTATAACAGCTTGTTTCAATGTTAACATAACTAATTTGATGCTTTTAATTAATTAGACAAGCTTTTTGATTACTAAAATGTATTTCAGCTAATAAAGTCCATAAAGTAAAAATAGGAAAATAAAAAGTAAATGAAAATAAAGTGAAGATATTGGCAGATAATTACTGGTGGTGATACTTTTTTTACATTTTAACAACAGTAAATCAGTTTTTTTACTAAGTGAAAATAAACGGTAATTCAAGTTCTTTGATTGTGTCTCTCACAGGAAAAGAAGCAGAAATGGTCAATGGTCCAGAACTGAGGAAGAGACGAGCTTCAACAGGACAGACGTCACCGGCCAAAAGAAGCAGAGCCAATTCAAGCACAGGTTCACTCTCTCTCATTATAACTGTTCAATAACTGATGTTCTTTATGCTAGTTGTAAAGTAAAGCATCTGACTGGACATTGTGTCTCTGATCTCCTCACAGACAGAAACACTCAGACTCCCATCAAACCAGTTAAATCTGACTCTGTCCCAGACACTTTGGACATTAAGGATGAAAAGACGAGTCCTGCAGGAAAACCAGCCCCTGCAGAAGAGGCAGGATCTACCCCTGAACTTGGTAGAACTCGTTCTGTTTTCAATTTACATATATTTTATTACAAATCTACATATCAAGTTTAAGATGCCAATAAGTAAAAGCAATTTCCATCTAAAATACACTAATGTTGTATTCATTTAAAATGTATTCTATTTGTTTGATCAGTAATATAGTACAAGCAGTACCATTGTGAAATATTATTGCTAATTATATTGTTTTAAACTAGTAAATATTTTACAATGATTTTTATTGTAGTTATTTTTTTATTGTTATGCAAAGTGTAAGTTTCATCATCATTATTCCTGTATTCAGGGTCGCATGATGATATACACTAGGGGTGTAACGGCTCACAACTCACAGTTCTGACTGCACATGGCCGGAGGATTAAGAACTTTTTTAAACTTGTAGGTTAATCTAACAATTATAACACTTGCAGAGAGATAACTTTCCACATCATTCAAATCACGAAAGAATTTTATCTTCCCTGTAAAATATAATGACGGAAAAAGTTGTGGTGGTACCTACCTAAAAGCTTTTTTAAGTTGTTAAAGTGTCTTCTGCCGCTGTTTGTTTTGCCATTAATGCATTCAGTGTAAAGCTGCACAATTAAACATTAAAAGATCATGATATCAATTTAAAACCAACGCAACATGAATGATAAATGATAATGATTTGCATATATTTATTAATCCTTGAAACGCTGTATTAAAAACTGCGTTTGATTGAGAGAGAATCAGTTTTTACAGAATTTCAGTTGGTTACAAATAAATAATACAGAAGTTCTGGGAGAACAGTTTATAGTTCAGATATAAACACTGATGTTTATGGTAAAGATTAAAATCACCATTTAATGGAACTTGATGCTGGTGAATGTTGCAGCAATTACATTGTGTAACCAATGGGGGGCAGTATACAACCATGAAAATTATGTCACTGAATAGGTTATCTAAAATGTTACACCTACAATGAAACATGCGGTTTAATGTGTGAATTATTGAATCTTTAATTAAAAATAATTATGATATGTTGTTCAAGATGTTAGAATTTTACATTTATCATCAGCAAAAGAAAGGCTTTTCGTATTGAATGTTTTTCTTTTGTTCAGCTGGTTCTTTCTTGATTTTTATTTCTATTAAAATGATAGGCTCTACGCTCTATTTGTTAAATCCAAAGGTTTTGCAGTTATGGTTTTGTGTAAATGGAAAGCAAATGACATAGTCATCTCCTTTTTTTGCTGATCCGAAAAATGGTCCGATCTGTGACTCAAAAACTGTAGTGTGATTCAAACTGTGAGATTTGTAATCCATTACACCACTAATATAGACGTAATTCAAATTTAATATTCAAGAAACATTTCTGACTATCAATGTTGAAAACAGTTCTTCAGCTTATTTTTTTCAATGTTGTTTAAATTGAAAGTTAAAAAGAATAAAAATATATAAGAAATATGAATGTAGATTTTAAATCTTTATAGTCCCTCTTGATCTATTTTTCTCTCCTGCTAATTAAAAATAAAAAGGGAAATTTAAAATCCTAAAGTATATAAAAAATTGATGATTAATGCTTTTATGAGTGTTCTCAGAATATGTCCAAATCATATCAACAGTGTATTTGTTGTGCTAATGGACTGATTGCATTCACAGCTGCAGCACTCAAACGTCAAGTCCACCTCCCAACCACAAACAAGTACAGCAGAGAACCACGTAAGTGCATCAAATCTCAGATTCGCCAATAAATAGCGTTGGCTGTAGAAAACGCACTCTTTCATCTCTCTGACACTTAACCTGTTTAACTTTTCCTCCCTCAGTTTACAGGGTCATCAAAAACCAGCCTCCCCCTATCCTGTCCATTGAGCTGGACCACAACCCCTTCAAATGCAAGATGGCCGGATGCCTTAAGTCTTTCCGCAAGGCGTCCCTCCTGCACTACCACATGAAGTACTATCACGCACAGAGCGACCCGAGCCCCCCACGCTGCGTCCAGACGCGCTCTTCAGACAAGCAGAGCCCCAGTCAGGAGACCCCCCGCAGACGCCGCACCGTCTCTGCTTCACACCGTCAGTGCACATTTCCTCTATCACTTTTATTTCTGCTATGTGCTTTGGGTGGTGTTGCTGGTGATTTCTATTTTGACTTTATAAAAGCCCTGGTATACTTCAAACAAAGTTATTTTTGTTCTCCCATATTGTTTGAGAGTAAAAAGTTGTTTGAAAAGTCTGAGGCCCTGTTTACACTAATACGTTTTAGTTTTAAAACCCATAAGTTTTGCTAGTTATGTCATCCGTCCACACTACTATGGAGTTTTCGAGCACCAAAAACGGAGCATGTTGAAAAATGCTGAAGCAGCCGTTTTGGTTTTAAGACACTGCTGCTCCGTGTTAGCGTAGATGGGGAAAACTGAGACATCTGAATATAGATGCGGGGCTGCAGTCATTTGCCTATCTGATTGGGGCTCTTTCCTTAATATTAAGTAGCCTACACAAAGTTCAGTCTTGCATCCTCTCCTTGTAAGTTCAGACTTTGCAAGTTTGATATGAAAAATAAACTTCCAAAACATGTTACCTGAAAAAAATAGATTCAAAAGACCAAAGTTAGGGAATATGTTGTAAGATGTAGATAACAAGATGAATTAAATATCATGTTTAACAACTATAGTGAGATTAGATCCAGAGGTAGATTCTTGAGGAATTGTCCGATGTGCACTGCTCTCACCTTGGGTTTTTTGCTTAAAGAAATGGTAATATGCTATAGCGCATGTCAGTGTGTGTGGTCACGTGATGTGCGTTTTCAGCGGTGTAGTGTGAATGGTGAATTGTTCAGAAACACTTGTTGAAACACCAGTGTGGACGTTGATTGTTTTCAATCTAAAACGCCGTTTTAAAACTAAAAAATATTAGTGTAAACTGGGCCTGGGTGATGATACACTGTTTTCGAATCTTTCATAATGCCCGCATTGCAGTTGGTGGGGTTATAAAGGTGTCACAATGCTCTTATGTTCAACAACAATGGCATCAACAATTTTATCTTTGCTTTATTGCATTCATCTATGCTTGCAGTTTGCTTATCATGTTATACATCCCTCCCATACAATACGATTTTGGCTGCTTGTTAGTTCGTACATCCCAATATTGTGCATGCCTACACCAAAAAAAAAAATAAAATAAAATAATATATATATATATATATATATATATATATATATATATATATATATATATATATATATATATATATATATATATATATATATATATATATATATATATATATATTTAGATAAGCTTAATTAAATAAGTATTTTCCAACAACTGGTATGGGTGCACCATCAGGAATCTTCTGAAGTGGGACAAATCCTCTGATTACAAAAAGTACAGAGGTGGCATAGCGAAGCAGCAGGAGCATTGTAGACACACTTAAGCTAACGTGATCATCAAACATTTAACAGCTAGGAGTGTCACCTTATGCTCAATTTCGATTATCGAATCAAAAAATAGAATCGTCGATGCTGCCACGCCCCCATGTCACATCAGCTGGGCTTGCCAAGCGGGAAAAAAACAGGCTTGTTAAACTGCAGAAGCAGGAGACCCGTCGACAGAACTTAAACCCTCTCCTCTTTCAATGAAGTCGCCGGTGTGTAAGCATTTTGGATTTCCAGTGAGTTATGTTGACAACGTTCGTGTTGTCGACAAAAAAACCCACAGTTTTACAAGTTCTGCTATGTACGCATTACATACGGTTCGTCCGATAGACAACACCGGCATCGCGATCCTCCGCCCGCCCCCGTTGCAAATCCGCTCGCGAAAAGTACACACTCAGGCCCTGTTTACACTGTCTTTGTTTTTAAATGGCATTTTAGAACGACAACGATTTGACATCCACAGTGGCGTGTGGCATTTCTGAGCAGCCCTCCTTCCTCTCTGCCTCTGAAAAGGCACATGACGTGACCACACAGACACAGCCATGCGCTCCAGACAGCAGGTCCAGGCAGTCAGAGGACTGCTTCAATCTTTCAATCACTTGTACTTAGTCATTTTAGCGCACACCTCAGATACTGTTGGCTGGTTCCTGTTGGTTGTGCCTCTTTTTTACCGACGCCATTATAACGACACAGATCACTGCCTATTCACGAGTCCCGCAGAAAAAGTAATTGACAGGTGGTAATTATGTGTGTAACTTACCTTTATTCATTTACTGTATGATTTGTTTATGGGTAAAACAAAGACGATGCAGGTCAGGTAGTTTAAACGGTAGGCTACAAATATTTAATTGGTCATTAATTAATTAATTATTCATAATCAAAAATCGAATCGAATCGTGCCTTCAGAATCGAAAATGTAATCGAATCGAGAATTTGGAGGATCGTGACACCCTTATTAACAGCACATGATTCAATTTTTAACCCCACAAAGAAGTGCTTTAATGTTAAACAGAAGAAACTCATAAAAAGTTTTAAACAAATTAAGAGCAAATAAATGACAGAATTTTAGTTTTTGGATGAACTATTGCTTCTCCATGTTGATCATCTACATAGATAGATTACAGTTGAAGTCAGAGTTAAAAGCCCTCGTTTCTAAACACAAGTTTCAAAAGCTAATTTCTAATAACTGATTTCTTTTAACTTTGCCATGATAGCAGTACATAATATTTTACCAGATTTTACTATTATTCAGCATAAAGTACAATTTAAAGGCTTAACTAGGAAATTGGGGTAATTAGGCAAGACATTGTAATGATAATTTGTTTTGTACACAATTGAAAAAAATATTGCTTAAGGGTGCTAATAATGTTGGGCTTAAATCGTTTATTTAAATATTAAAAACTGATTTTATTTTAGCCAAAATAAATCAAATAAGACTTTATCTAGAAGAAAAAAATATCTGAAGTACTGTGAAAAATTCCTTTCACTCTAAAACATAATTTGGGAAATATTTTAAGAAAATCTGACTTCAACTGTACATATTTTTAAATTACACATTGAAGAAATTTTAAAAACAAAACAAAACCTAACAGATGCCCTATAAATCTCCTTTCACAGATACTCCATCTCCTCTGAGTGACAGTAAGTCGGGTCACTCTCTGTCGCCCCCTGCTGTGGGTATCAAGCACCGGCAGCGCTCGGCCACACTGGGAGCCGAGAGGAGCAAAGAGAACCAGGTCTTCAACCGCTCGCTGCATGACGACAGAGACTGGGTTGCCAAGGAAACAGGTATGGGAGTGCATCGTGATCATCGCACCCATTTCAGTGCACATGCTCCTGCTGATTTGTCCATATATATCAGGACACACAGTAATAAGAGATTTGACTTTTCTCATCTACAGCGCTGAAGGAACGCGAGAGGCTGAGAGAGAAACGGCAGAGGGAGTTCTTCCGCATCAAGCTGAAGAAAAAGAAGAAGAAGAAAAGGAAGTCGAAGTCAGGTGAGATGCTATTTAAGTGCGCTGAGGTCTCTGTGTGTCTTTTGCTCTTTGCTGTCTCTTCCGCTTGTCTGCTATTGCTACAGGTTTTCTCTAAAGTGGTGCTGACAATAAAATAAGTATGCAAAATTAACACAGGATTACGTAAGAGCAACAGAATGTGATGTTGGATTATAGGGGTTTGGCTTGGAATAAATAAATGATCAATACTAAGTTTTGCATTAAAACTGAGAACATTTAAATGTGAATTTGCAGGACTTTATTTACTTTTTATTTTAAGATATAAACCATTTCAATGTGGTCATGTAATTGGCCCATGAACATTACCTGCTTATTAAACTATTTCATAACTGTAACAAGTGGCACTTCAATCATAACTTATTGTTAAAACAGCTGTCATAACAGTATTTATTAATATGTGGCTCTTTCTGGATTCTCGAAAGCTATGGAAATTAAAAATGTAAAACAGGAAATACGTTGGGACTAGGGATGCTCATTTCGGTTAATTTCGCTAACCGACAACCGCTGCTCATCAATCGGTTATTAACGGTTAACTGGTCAGATTACTATTAATTTTATATTAAACAAATTGATGTGTCTATTTTGTGTCCGACACATTAAATATTGCATTTTAAAATACTGATTTATTTTTATATGCTAGCATATTAATAATAGAACAATACAACAGAGCATCTTCACGCACCTGCAGTGTTTAGCACGGAAGAACAGAATAAACTAAATAAAATGAATAAAATAAATAGGACTGCCCTAAATTATTTTCACTTAAATAATTAATTTATATTACAAAACGAAAAAACTGACTGATTCTTTTTAATAACCGGCATAGGCTGTTTTTTTTCCATGTTTTTTGCAGACTTCCTCAAATTGCTCGCTCTACGGAAAATATGCCTTTATTTAATGCCCCGATGTTAATATTATAAATCACAAAACCTTTTTACATTTTTAATAGAAATCATTATTTTAAAGATTATGTCTTGCTATAATATGGTTTCCTCTCTCTCCCTCGCGGCTCAAGTGCGTGCGCTGCGTGATAAAAATACAACAACAACAACGCGCGCATATGTTGACTTTTTGTAAACAGTTTTGTTGTTTAAATATGATATTGCATTAATCTGCATACATGCTTTATAAGCTGTAAAATAAAAGTTAAAGACTTTGTTGCGTTTATGACTGCTCTGGTTTGGCATCAACACGTCTGTTAAACGGCAATATTCTTCTTCCATTTTGCTTCTTTGGCAAATGAGTCTGTAGGCACGGGTTATACGTTGTCGTCCCGCAAGTTAAATATGTCTTGCAGTTGAACAAGGGGCCGAAACAAGGCACATCTCACTGCCTTTATGTTGACGAGGAAAAAAGAAGAGAAGAAGCGCGGCCGGTCCTCTTATGAAACAACTGAATCAGCTGGGTATCGATTGTATCGATTCCTGTAGTAAAGCAAAACGGCTATAAACTCCAGCAGGATAGAGTGATTATATGCAGAGCCTTATACCTTTATCTATAAATAAAGTATAACTATAGAAACTGTGTTCATCTTAACTGAAAGCTTCGTCGAGTTTGCTGGTCTCACGCATCACGCACCTGTCAGTCAGTCAGTCAGCACGTAACGCCAAACGGTTAAACAGATAGCGCACAGCACTATACGTTTACAGAAAAGTTTGCGCTGTTATGATTCCCTTACCTTTTAATACGTTTTGGTGCGATTATAATCCGCTATTAAAAACAACAACAATAACTGAATGTTTTGAATGGGTAATGTAGCCGTGGAGGGATGCATTTTGGTCCCCACCATGGAAGAATGAATGTAGCGGAAACCATGCTCTTTAAAAGTTCTCTGTAGTTGTCTTGACAACCCAAACTGCTATTCTGGGATGAGCCGCGTGCAAAAAATGCCCTTCTTAACGCAAAGGTGCATTCAATCGGCCCTTAAGCAGCCAAACTAAAAATATATAAAATAATATTTTTAATCGTTTAACTGATAGCATTAATCGGTTACAAACGCACCCTTTCGGTTAACGGTTAATCGATTATTTTGAGCATCCCTAGTTGGGACCATTGCTTCTGTTTACACCCCTTAAAATTGTCTATAGGTTAGTCAAAATGACACATTCCATTAAGGTGTCTGCAGTAAATAAATTTACAGGTGTTTTTTTTTTTTTTTTTTTGTAGAGATATAGTAAATACTAGTAAAGTGTCTGATTTTAAGTAAGTTTTGTTAAAAATGTCAAAGTATGTGGTGAAAAAATATATAAATATATATATATATATATATATATATATATATTTTTTTTTTAATAATGAAAGTGAGGCTGTGGTGGGAAGAAACCCAGAAGTAGAGAACCAGCACTGTAAATATTGCAACATCATGTCATGGACTGCATCCGAAACAGCATACTTCCATACTATAATGTACGCTAAAATCAGTATGCAAGCCGGGTAGTATGCCTGAATTATTAGAATTTGAAAATAAGTATGCGAGAAGTACCCGGATGACTTACTACTTCCGGCCAAATTCTGAACAAAACTCCAGTCGTTGCCGTGATTTCAAAGTGCAGATATGGTGTAAACATCACTTTAATATTATTAAGTTGCTTAATTTAATCAATTAAAAACATATTAGGCATCAAACTAAATCACAATCTCTTTATGAGTAATACGCTTAAGTTTCCTCCTAGGCTTCTGTTCATGGCACCAGGTAAACACAGTGGGGACGCTTCCCTGTTTCAGCTCATGTAACCTGATAAGCGATAATACAGTGCAATCCTGTGTAAAATGTTTGGATCACACCCTCGTGTGCTGTTGTCATGATACTAGAATTGCAGTACCAATCGGCACTGTTGTTTTAAAAACGTCCATTTACTGCTAACATTTAAGCGCTGCTTAGCAAGTTTTGCCATAGTGTATCGGCAAACACAGATACAGCCACGAATATCAGTCGATTCATCAGCGGATTGTTTGTTTGCACTCGGCAAACATCGTTAAGTTTGGTGAACTGATGAACTTCACGTCAATCACAATCATTTCTTTTGTGCGCTGGTGAATACTATAGCAAAACAGCAGTGTTTAGGAACACACTCAAATGTTAACGGGAAATTAACATTTAAAAAAAAAATTCAGTACTGATTAGTGGCAATTTAGTATCGTGACGAGTCTAATATAGTGAAAGAATCAGTTCATTAATTCGAGTTTGATAAATGGCATGTAAAATGTGTGATTGGGAAAGAAAGAGTTCGCTAACTACTGCCATTTTCCTCAACTTGACTGAAAATGAGGTCTGATATCCCTTTTTATTTTCTCTATCCATTTAGAACTGACATTTGGGTCATTTGAAAAGCAGTGAAGTAATACATTTGTGTTACTTTCTTTTCGCTGGTGATATATACAGCCAGGTACACAATACGTCCTCATGGATGCTGTTGCTGTGACACCAGGCAATATTTCCAGGTTTCTTCCCACCGCAGCCTTACTTTCGCTTTTAGAATGGTGGCCACGTTTCATTTTATAATTCATTCAGTAAAACGAATTTCTGAATGCACATACTAATACAGATTTATACATGTTTTTAAAGCTAAAACTTGATTAGTCATTTATTTCAATAAATAAAATGTTGGTTAATTAAAATCGTGTATTTAATCATCTAAATTGCATATTTGAAAATGGTTTCTAATGCTTTTTTTTTGGGTTCATTTATTAGTCAAGTCAATCAAAATACAAGTAATTTGACACTTGGTTATCATTTATAAAAGTATTATGACACATTTTGATGGGGCAGCAACAAATCTACTCAATTTTAATAGCCATCCTCTTCCCACATGCCACTCATGAATGATCTTTTAAATAAAATAAACCCTCAGCTCAGACAATATTTGCTCAGTTCAATGCTTGCTTAAACGTTAAACACAAAAGTTCCTAGTTTTTTGAAGCATTGTTGGAATTAAAGTACAGTTTGTCTCTGTGTCATTGCTCCTAAGATAATAATAGACTGTAAAAGTGCAGAGCCACCCACTAAAGCAGCGTTTATGCTGCCAGTCGCTCTGGACAGTGAATCAGATCTGCAGCTTCCTCCTCCTCGTTGGTGAGGAACAGCTCGCTCTGTGTTTATAACCCTGTGTGGCGTCTGCTCTTCCTCCTCTGACAGACTCTCACAGCACTGAGGAGAGCATTGGCCCAAAGCCTCTCCCCTGCAATCTGAATTCGGCCCACAAATTGCCCCTCTCCCTCACACACCGATCCTACACAGGACACGGCCCCGAAAAGATGCTCAGCCAGGGTGGGTATTCCTGAACACAGCTCCTCCAGCTCACTGTTGCCTGCTTTGTGTTCTTCTTCTTCTGCCTCGTTGTCTTTCATTGTCTCGACTAGTTGAATGTGTCTTTTTTTCTTTCAGGGTGGGTTCCTTTAAAAAATAAAATAAATAAATTTTGGTTCAGTTTAAATTTCATGATGATTTACTCACCTCCTTGTTATCCATTATGTTAATTTCTTTCTTTCTTTAGTTATATATTAAAGATTTTCTCCATATAATCAACTTTTCATAAACGCTTAATGGCTTGAACTTCAAAACTACAGATTCTAAGGCTCTAAATAATCCCAGACGGGAAATAAAGGCGCAACAATCAGTACATCAGGCATGAAAAAAAATGTATATGCTAAATGCCCAATTAGTCAGTAGGTTGAGTCATTTGTATCTATTAAAGAACGATTCACTGCCAACATGTAACCACCACCAAAACATGTTAAAATGTGACATTTTATAGACTAATAGACTTGATTTGGTAGCTCTAGGACTAGGTTTTATATTAGGAGCACTTTGATGGATAATTATTTAGTTCTTTATCATGTCTCCAACTGAAAAGTCATTTAAAGTCCACATGAAGTTGATGTTTGTAGCAATATGTTTGTCTTTGCATTTAAAGGTATCAATCATAGACTGTAAAAGACACGGACATAGCATTCAAGATGTTACCCATAGGTGTCTAAAGAGCGCAAATAAAGCTGCAAGGCTATTTATGAAATCAGGCATAACACTGTATGACAAAGTTTCAGTTGACTGCCACCTAAATGGTTTGTGAGCACAATAAAGTGCACACAGCATGCCAAATCATTGATAATTGTAGGAAATAATTCCAAAAGGCAATTGACTGTGTAAAGCCGCATAAAACAAAACATAAATGCAATGTATATGCTGAATTCAGTGGCTAATCAGCCGGAATCAGCTGAGGTGATGTGATGCCAAGTGGCTACGCTCTTAATTATGTAGACTTCATATAACTTAATCAAAACGAAACAGATGACTTATAAAAATTATGAAGGGTAATATTAGCTAAATACACTAAAATTGTTCTTTGTACCAGGCTGTGAACACCCTTTTTTCTGCTGTAAAGTTGGCCAGTGGACAGTGGAATTTGGACAGTGGCCTCAATAGAAATCTGCTCTTTTATAGAGCCAGGACTAGCGGAATTTTAATAAATTGCAGTTTTAGTTACTTCTGTATTTGCTACACAAGGGAGAGCAGGAGGTTGCCGCTTGGTATAAACATTCAAATCCTGCAGTTTGATTCTTCCGCATAAATGATTTTTTTTTGTCACCTCATACTTCAGTTTTTTATCAAATCCTCTCTAGTATCTGACATGTCCTGCCCCCTTCTAGGCACTTATTATTAATGCGCTTGAGCTGTGATAAAAATTAAATCCTATTGGCTGTTTTTTTAAGGGGAGGAGTTGTGCTGTCCCACCTTGTCCTAATGTTTCTGGTGAAATTGTCACACATTAATCAGAAAAACATTTCAAAGCAGTTCAAGGCACCTTTAAGATTTTATTGTAAAATAAATGTGTTTTAAAAAAAGAAGTAAAAGACAAAGAAAAAAAATGAACATCTTGAATGAAAAGGGGGTGAGTAAATTATCCAAAGATGCTTGTCCTGGAAGTAAAATAATTACTATAAAGTCTTAAACTTACTTAAGTATTCTGTTTTATGTCCTAAATAGTTCTTATATCCATGTAACTTTACCTTTAAAACTCATTGAAATGCCATCACTGTTTTTTTTATTTATTATTATTATTATTATTATTATTATTTAGGTTATAGGTTCATATTAAGTTTTGTAGTTTTTTTTTTTACTATTATAATTTACTGTTTTCTGAATCAACAATGTCTAAACAAGGTCTAAAATTACGCTCATGTTGATCCTAGTCTTAAATTTGGTTAATCCTGTAGAAACTCTGTTCTAGATGTTTAGTCATTACTGCTGTGTAGATCATTCTCTCTAGTGTTAAATTAGCCTGTTTTGTGCATGTTTGTTTAGTGTAGATGATTGTTTGACTACCTGCTTGTTAAGTATGATGTCACTCATGACAGTTTCTGTGTTCAAACACTCGGTCAAAAGCCAAAAGTGAGCAACAAACGGTAGTAAATATAAGCTCAGTGTGATATAATACTATTAAAATATGATCAATGTTTTTGCATTATTCTAGCATTTATGAATGGTTAATGTGTTGCCTGGTATGCAGCAAGTCCAGAGACTGTTGTGAACATGAACACCATGATTTTGTTGAAGATTTGCCTTAAAATCCATGTAAAATCAAAAGGTACTTTGTTTATTTACACTTAAGTATTCGTAAGGTGAGTAATTGAGGTCTTTGCACACTGCATTCTGAAAGTTTATATAAATTTAATTACGTTTGCGTTTTATTAAATTTTTTTTGTATTGAAATCCGAAAAATTAGTCACAGACAAAACCTTGGACACTGAGTCTGATGCGTGTTAATGTTAACATCTGTAATGTTGTTTTGTAACCTTTCCCAAAACATTTATTTTGAAGTCCAAATGTCTTAATTTTGCATACTTTGCTTACCATGAAGACCTTTGTGTTGCAAGTGAAGTGAATTAGTTTCTCTGACGTCTTTTTTGATTTTGCCTTTCACTTGTTAGATGGTTCTGAGTTGTCAAAAAACCTCTCAAAACGCCTTTTCGGGTGTAAAAAATAAAATAAAAATCAAACCCGATTAGAATTTTTGTTATGATGGACAAAAGTTGTGGAAACAGTGTGCAATAAACTTTAACTGAAAAAATAGTTTGTTTTTGTAAACTTCTATTAGACGATTTGCTTCAACATTTGGAGTAGCTTTCCTTTTGTTGACGTCAACAGCTGATCTTCTGATGCTAACCTAAGGGTTTCCATAGCAACTGCATATTAATCCCCTTTCTTACCATTACCGTTGCTATGAGGGAATGATACGCCAAAAAAGCCTCTTCATTTCAGTAGGAAGTACATCAACATGCTGAAATAAAAGTCTCAGCAACTTCCAGGTCATGCTGACTTTATTGTATGATACGACTAAAAAGTGGTCAAAACTATTGAGATAAAAATGTTCTCAATTGATAAGAGTAGATGCTTGAACCTGGAAACCGTATCTTGTACGGCTCAACTTAGGAAGCAGGATATAAAAAAAGAGCTGAAATCTTCTGCTGAGAGTGATGTGTTGTTGTTGTGTCCTCCAGGTGAAGACAGCAGCAGTGATTTGTCCTCGGACAGTCCAGTATGGAGTGAGGACGAGTCTGACACTGAGCTGGATCTGAACGTCCCCCTCTCGGAGCAGGGGGTGGAAACAGTCACTCACAGCTCTGAGATCGTACGCTGTATTTGTGAAGTGCAGGAGGAGAACGACTTCATGATACAGGTCAACTACCACCCTCTGAATCTGCTTTTGACTTTCTTTTTTCGTTCGTTATGCTTTTAATATCATTTTGAAGAGTGTTTGTTTTTTTCTGTGAATTTCTTTTTCTAGTTTTTACATTTATTATGGCAACTGTTATGTTGAACATTAAACATACAGTACTATGAAACAATATTTTGAACTTTCACACATTTTAACATATCGCAATGAAATTTTTTGAAATGTATTCATAATATTGTTTCATAATACTGTTTAAAGACAAATCTGAGTTTGCTTTGCCTAAATAAATGTATCAACTGTGCACTATATTAATATAAGCTACATTAGTAATAGTTGTAATAATAACAAACAACTCTCCAGTTTTGGTGTCTGTATCAAATTCACACAAATATTTTGAATGCATAGAAAGTGTATTGAATATGCTATTTTATTGCTTCAAAAATGTTTTAATGTATTAGGGTTTGCAGAAAGTGCTTAAAGGGCTTGAATTTAGCTTCAAGAAATTCAAGTCTTGGAATACCTGGAAAATTGGCTTGTTTTGTTGAAAAGTGCTTAAAATTAGCGATAATTTGTTTGCAGTTTTTACGCTGGTAAAATTAAAATGTTTGTGAACTTTTTGTGACAATTTAATGCAAAAACACCTGCACAAACTACCGGGATTCCGAAGCCATGATTTGACTGAAATGAAAAGTGGCCAATCACAGTCGACCTCATCTAGTTTTATGTGTCATAAGGGCAGGACAAAGGCCTTTCTGTGTTGCAGTGACAGAAAGAAATAACAACTTAAACACAAATGTTTTATTAGAGTAATGTTTTTCGGATGTTTATGTTATTAGCAAGAGTAATTAAACCGCAGCCCTACTTCCTGCCTTTTTGACAATCTACACACACATTTCGCTCTTTTTCTCTCCAACAGTGAGTTTACTCGGCACAGGAATGCAGGTATTGCACAATTACTCAATATCCAGCTGCAGACCCACACAAGTTTCAGTCACACACAATCTAGCACACTTTATTTGAACATGAGAGTGCAGTCATGTACGTTAACCGCAAAAACTGCATATGCGTGCTCTTAAATAGGCTTTTTCAAATTAACTGCAAGTCCTCTCATCATCGTGTGTGTGTGTGCTTAGACTGTATACAATCGCAATCTCTTTGCTATTAAAGTAGAAATTATTTATCTTTGATCCTTGACTAAATTTAGACTATCTAGTATTTAGAATTAGAACGATGCACAACCGATGACAATGCAAACAGATGTCTTAAACTTACTTTGAGCCAAGGTGGAACTTTTTTTCTTTTTTTTTTTACGACAAAAGAAATATGCTGGAAATGTTTCTGTTTGAGGTATTTGTGTGATCTATACATAATAGCTGTATTCTGATCTGTCTTAAAACATCACTAAATTGTGCAACCATTACATGTCAAAGCAATCTGTTACATTTATCAAAATAAACAATAACGCTCTTAAAACACTGCTTTGAGAAATGTAGTGTTGTTATATCTCAAATACCTGAAGTGAAGTCATTTGTTTTATTATTGTATTACTGACAGTGTACTTGTCTTTTAGTAAAATTATTTTAGTGTAAGATCAAGTGTAAAATAAAATTTCTATGTGATGTAAATAAGAAAAATAGTTTACACTATGTAAATAAAAGGCTAAATTATTATTTTTTTTCATCATATACTTTAATTAAACCTTTCAAGGCTTGACAATATTGTTTTAAAATGGACAAAAGTGTCTCTATGGCCCTATAGAGTATGTGGTAGTTTTGCCAGTGCTATTGAAAAAGTTTAATTGTCATAAGAAGGGAAAATCGACCATAGTTCGTTTGTTAGTACAAATTCCTATACATGTAGCTTTGTGATTTAAGCAATTAAACTATTCAAATAAGTTTACACTTAAAAAATGGCCATAATAAAAGTAAAATTTTCTTTTCTAAAGTAACTAACTAGTACTCAGAGTAGTTTTTTTAAAGAGTCATTTGCACTTGTACCTAATATTAGTATTTATTACTAAATTTTGTATTATTTTGCAGTGTAATAGTGTTTTTACCTGAGTACAAAAAACATTTCACAAGCACATTTAATGCAGGTTTATTATAATATTAATTATTAATACGATTTATTAATTATTATATTTTTATTTTTTTAAATTGCTAATTTTTTTTTATTCCTATGTAATGTTTTTATGGGTTGCTGAGAATACATTTTAGGTGTTCAATATGTTGCGTGTCAGACTCGGGTGCTTGGAAAAAGTGCTTAAAAGTCTTTTTTCTTTTCATTAGGCTGTATCTTCTAATAACTGATTTATTTTATCTTTGTCATGATGACAGTAAATAATATTTGACTAGATATTTTTCAGGACACTTCTATACAGCTTAAAAGGACATTTAAAGGCTTAACTAGGTTAATTAGGTGGTAACACCTTACAATAAGGTTCATTAGTTAATGCATTTACTAACATGAACTAATCATGAACAACACATGTACAGCATTTATTAATTAATATGTATATATATATATTATTATTTTTTTTTATTTATCTCTGTAAAAGCTAAATACAAACAAAAAGTGAACATTGAACAAAAAGTGAACATTTAATTGTTCTATACATTTTTATTTAAAAAAAAGTAATAAGAGCCTGGAGGTATTATAGACTTTGCTAATTCAGTTTGCAGACATTTGTAGGTACAGACATCTATTGTGTGCATTCTTGGCAGTTTTTCCTGTCTTTTTAATATTGTCCATATCAATATCGGAATTATATCATATTGACCGAAATAAAGAAATATATTGTAATATAATTTTTTGCCATATCGTCCAGCCCTAATCTCATGATTATTATTATTATTATTTTAAGTGTTCCAGGAAAGATTTGTTTAGTATATAAACTATTGTTTAATGTAAAGTATATAAACTCCATTTCATTTAGTGATGATTAGTGATGGTCTTGGAGATTAAAAGATGTTTTGCTCTCTGCAGTGTGACGAGTGTCTGTGCTGGCAGCATGGGACATGTATGGGTCTCTATGAGGACAGTGTGCCAGACAGTTACAGCTGCTATATCTGCAGAGACCCACCAGGTGAGAGACTTGATCTATCTCACTTTAGCATATATGATCTTTTTCCACCTTTTTCTGTATTAAACAGCTGCATTTTAAAATATTGAGTTGAAATTTTGGTTTAAGGAACTCCCATTCAAAACAACTGAAATCACTTCATATAATCCATATACAGTGGGGACTGTGCTTTATTTTTATTTGTCACGAAAATAAGGTTACACTTCGTATTTTAATGTGACATTAATATCACAAGTATATCTGTGGCCAAAGTCCTGTCAAGTTCACTGTGTTTTGTTCCTCCAGATTGTAGGGATAGTATACAGTTCAACCCAAAGAATGACCAGTCTGGTAGATGAAGAAGAGCCGGAGTCAGAGATTTAAATAAATAAATCAAGTTTACTGAAGATCGTTTGCAGTTTCATCCGCAGAAGCCAGCTTCAACATTCGCAATGAGTTCCTAGGCCACTCTGCTTACAATCATCAATCAATAACAATTATAACGTCATTAACTGCGTCATACATATAGGTGTTCTAACCTGATTGGTTAAAACACAGATAGACTTGGAAAATTTCGACGTGGGGTTTGTGCATATATTCTGAACAATATCTTAAGCATAAACGTCAGACATCCCTTAGACTGATTAGAGCTGACTCCAGACCTGTGAAACGGATCAACAATCAAATGGAACACACACACTTAAAGTATAATCTGTTTCTTATCCAAGGCTGAGTGTACTCTCAGCCGTCTTTATCAAAACTGGTTAAAAACCGATATAATCTACATTCAGGCAGTTATATTCTTACTACACAAAGTCTATCTTGAATAAAAGTAGAATCACTTTAAAAGATTTAACCGTAAAAATAGCAAAATCACTTTAGACATTTTAGATAGTAATAACTACTAGAAATAACAATAGAAATAGTTGATTCCAGTCCTCAGCCCTCAGTTCCACTCAAGGTCTCCGTGACCTCTGACCTAGTTTTGTGGCTTCTAAAAATAGTTATAAAGAGATAGGCAAATGCACTGAACATTCTTATATTAAGCAATGTGTTAACTTATTCATTAATTAAAATCAATTCACAGTTAAATACTCATTCAAATGATCAAATAATTATATTTAATAAAAAAATATGAGAAACAAGATGATGAGAAAAGGATAAACGTTGGTCCATGATGAGATGGATTGGAAAGCAGAAATCCAAATCTTTCAAGATAATATTTAACACATCCATGATTTTGCTGTAGAAAATTCGGCTGGACAAAATATATCATTTCAGCATTGATATCACAATATGCATTTGTAGTCACATCACTTGAGTCACAGTTGAAAACATAATTTGAGGAGTCATTGCAAAGTTAAACCATCTATTTACCGAAAAATGATAATTTATTGATTGAATCAAATCATTTGCATGTGTTGCCTGTGACAGTGTAAGCATTTTAAGGTACAAGGTATAATGTGTGTAACTTTTTAAGAAAGATTAATTGTATTTATTCATGTTTGATTATTTGACTTTTGTAGCTGAATACTGCTAGACTCCCAGAAAACACTTTTTTTTTTATTTTTTTTTTATCTTTGCTCTACAGTTTTTTCAATGCTTGTGATTTGGTGTATTATATTTTATGCATAAACACTTCTCTACAAAATCATCCTAATCAAATACCAAAATTATGATTTTGTTTTGAACTTATCTGGTGAAATTATACTTGATTTTGAAATATTTATCGCAGGACAATCAAATATAGCAATGAGTTTTTTTGTTGTTGTTTTTTTCCCAATATCCTGCGATGAAAAGACTCATCTTGAGTTTTGAGTTTTTGGGTTTATTAAGGGTCAACTGAAAGTTGTTTCTAGAGGTTATATATATATATATTGAATGGATGAACTATGAGGCAAATAATGCCATTGTAGCCAGTTCTATAAAAAAAATTCACAGGTTTTTAACAGTTTAATAAAAGTTACTCTCATAATTCAAGCAAAACATCATGAATCATAGGATAAGGGTGGATATTAGTTTGTCTGGATTGTGTATATTACCCTTTCTGTGGATCTTTTATTCAGTTTTGTGATGTAGAAGTGTGTGTGTCTGTATGTGCAGCTCAGAGGCAGAGTCAGAGGTACTGGTACGATAAAGACTGGCTGAGCAGTGGACACATGTACGGCTTGTCTTTTCTGGAAGAGAACTACTCTCACCAGAACAGTAAGAAGGTGACGGCAGCACATCAGCTTCTAGGAGACGTCCACCGAGTGTTTGAGGTCCTCAACGGCCTTCAGCTCAAGATGAGCATCCTACAGTGAGTTTTTCCACACAATTTCATTCTGGGCTTTTAGCATATTGGGTTATCATTTTTTCATGTTTCACACCACTCTTATTTAGCCTGTGGTTGTGTGGTAGCCAGTGTTGATGTTTTGGAATGCTAGGAATACTTTTGCTTTAATTAACTTTTGACTCCAAATGAATGAAATGGAGAGAGCAGTACTAAAAAATGACAAAAACCACAAATGCAAAAAGTTGCAAATTATTTGCATGAAAGGGAATAATATAAATAATACATTGAAATAAGTTGAAAGACATTTTTATTTGTCATTATGTTTGCAAAAAACTACAGTCACTACAAGTTATTGTATGGTGCAATGTCAGGTTTTTAATGATTGTGAAAAAAAAACAAAGTATTTAAATAATTTTAAACACTGTTTACTACAGATTAGAACATATTTTGCTGAGAGAAGTTACATTTGGTCATATTCCTACAAAAGAATTGCTGAAATCTGAAGCTGGTTTATAACGTACCAAGTATATTGACTGCTGTTCTGTTGTTTGTACTGTAACTGTAATTTTTATTTTATACTTTAAACTGTTTATATAAAGCATCAGTTCAGGCATATACAAGCATTAATTTGCGACTAATATTGACTACTAAAGGATTCCCTTTCTACTAAAGGAATCTTCCAGGGCGTCTTTATTTTCTAAAGTTCTCATATAGGCTTTGAGAATGGTGTGGCACAAAGGGTTGCGTATTTATGCCACCAAGCTTGCCTCACAACAGGTTTTTGCTGCTAACGCTGCTTTTAAATCAATAAATGTTCCTGTAGTAAGGTACCTGTGGTTAAATGCAGTGTAATAAAAACAAATACCTTAATGTAACCTATTGTTTACTCTTGTGTGCTATTGGGGAGGTTTTCAGGTCATTTTGAGTCTTCATTTGGCCACAACGTTCTTTTTTCAGCAAATAGATTGATTTTTTTGGTGACATCTTATTTTGATAGGGTTCGGGTAAGGTGTTTAAAGTGCTTAAATTTGGCTCTTACAAATTCAAGTGCTGGAAAACCTGGTAAATTGGCTTGTTTTGTTGAAAAATGCTTAAGATTAACAAGAAGAATTTGTATACTTTTGTCATGCCGGAAAAATTACAATTTTACACTTAAAAAACGGTTGTAATGAAAATCTGATTTACTTGTTTTTAAATGTAACTAATTAGTACTCAGAGTAGTTTTTTAAAAGAATACTATGTACTTTTACTCAATATTAGTATTACTCACAATTCTTTTATTATTTTAGCAATGTAATAGTATTTTTACTTGAGTACTCATTTTCAGTTCTCTTTCCATCTGTGAGAACATTAAAAATGTAATAATTTTATATTATTAATTAAGTATTATTTTATATTTTATATTATTTTTTATTTGTATAAACCAATAGATAGTTCATATGGAGTGTGTTTGTGGATTGCTGAGAATACATTTCAGGAGGTCAATACGTGTCAGTCTTGAAAATAAAAATAGGTGCTGGAAAATGTGCTGGAAAATTAAGTTCTTCATTTTCATTAAATTGTGTCTGTATGAACCTTGTTTTGGGAAAATACTTTGAAGATTTATAAAAGTTAATTCTAAACTATACACTTTGGGCAAAATTTCTATCCTTTTATAAAATTTACAAAATTTTCCAGGAAAACCAGCAACAATCAAGAATGCATGATTATATGGTGTCATGGCTTTGCAATCAAAAAATGTCATTATAATGGAAATCAATCAGGCAAAAACAGCCACCAACATAACAAAAAGGTCGTAAATTTAAACAATGCACAAGCGTTTAGTTATTCAGTTATGAATCAAAGCTGCACCCTGTTTCAGGACACAAGCCCATCCGGACCTGAAGCTCTGGCGGCAGCCCTGGAAACATGCAGACGGCCTGCGGAGGAGGATGGCAGGTGACTCTGGCATTGCTACTCCATTGCCGCCCTCGCCTCCTGAAATGGGAGAGAATGAGTTTGAGACACTAAAGAGCGAAGCCCCGTCGCCTATGGAGACGCATTGCTCTTTTCAGGACTCGTACATTAGCAGTGAGCACTGCTATCAGAAACCCCGTACCTACTACCCAGCAGTGGAGAGAAGACTAGTGGTGGAGACGCGGGGCGGCTCTGAGCTGGAGGACAGTCTCAGGAGCACAGAGGACCTGCTGGAGATGGCGGAGCAGAGGTACGGCACGCAGCTGGACCACGACCAGCACAAGCTGGCTGATCGCTCCTTTAGTAAGGTAAGCCACAGGCAGTTTCGTATATATTTGTTCAAGTGCACAGTACAGACAGAAGCTTCTTGGCCAGTGCATGCTCGCAATTTTTTGTTTGTTAGTTTGTTTGTTTGTTAGCAGACAACTAATCAGCTTAGGACTATCAAATGTTACATCATTATCAAATCCACAGATCAAATCACTACATTTTATGTAGCTTTCACCAGTTTGAAGACTATTTTCAATTATTTATTTAATAGTCTATTTGTAAACAAATTTAGTATCTATGCTGCACGTATTAGATGGTTTGCTGAAGATGCAGCTGATGTGCAGCAATGGGTTTGTATCTTTAATAAACAATGACAGTTCGCATTTATTGAAAAGTAAGAATGATTAATAAATACATATGAAACAGCCCCTAAATGCTCAAACCCAACCTCGCTACAGACCACTTCTTTCAACCTCTGTTGTCAATTGGGCTGTTTCTCAATATGCGTTCTTCAGCATTCTTGCATCCTTGTGTTCTCGTGTAACGTCATCATCAACTGCCAAAGTTCAGTTCCAATACTCAAGACCACAAGAACAAAGGACGCATGAAACTTCCCGGATATGTTCTTGATATCGAGGACGCACTGATGCAGACTTGACCACCGAACTTTCTCCAAAAGTCATTGCGACTGGAGGTGGAAAGCGCAACATTTTAAAAAGGTTTATTATTAAAGTTCAGAGATGGAAATAATTTATCTCAGGAGTTTCCCTAAATGAAACTGTGAAAGTAAACATGACCATGGAAATCTTAATAAAGGCACAAACATATTAAGGGTGTATATTTGCTGAAATTCGTATTAAAATCTGTTTTATTTATATAGTGTAACATATTTTTGTAAAGTCTTAATGCATAGTCTATATTTTGAAAGGAAGGAAAACAATAAATTGTTGTATGGATGCAGTAATGTTTAAATAATTTTCTATTAAAAACACCTGAAGGAGACCAGTCAGGAAGAATGCAGCATCTCATTTCTCACTGGACGCAATTTCTATTCTCATGGTCTCTCGAGTTAAGTCTTCTGAGGTGACCTGGCAAGACCGGTTTCCACAAGAACTCAAGTCCATTCTGTGCCTTCTTGCAATTGAGAAACAGCCTTGTCCTTTTTTATTTCCGCTTCTCTGTGGGACTCGAGACAGGTGATGCACACAGGTGACGCTCAGTGATCGTATCACCTGCCTCACACTGTTCCAACAACTCTTAGCCACATGCCCCTTGCGACAACTACATTATAAAAGTGTGTATTTGACGTGTAAAGTAAAATGCATACTTTTGATTGTATAACACAAAATATACAAGCTTTGGGACATAATACTTCTGCATTCATGGACTGTTAATTCTATTTTCCAATACTAGATAGCATGTAAATTGGGGTGCCACATTTGAGTTGCTACATCTTTCTTTGTTTGGGCATCAATAATCACATCTCATTGGTTTGTGCTGTCAGGAGCTGGAGAGCCGAATGAAACGACTGGTGTCCGCTGAGCAGGAAAAGAGTTGTGGGGTTGAAATCAAGGAAGAGGAGCCTGACCCTGTAACCCCTGACCCCAAGCCTGACCCTGACCTTGTGCTACACCAGCAGTGGCAGCTCAATCTGCTGGAGCACATTGAAGCGGTGCAGGATGAGGTCACGCACAGAATGGACCTCATCGAGCGAGAACTTGACGGTGAGACTAACACAGTTTGTTAGCAACATATTTGGTAACACTTTATAATGATGGCACACTAAGAATTGTTGAAGCATCATTAGCAAATAGTTAGTTCATCATTCGTTACACATAAATTCTGAAATAATATACATTAGACAGTTTTTGACTTTTAAGCACATATAAAATGTGCTTTATGTGGTTTGGATGTTTGTAGACTTTAAAAGGTATGGACGTAGTATCCGTGACCCATAGGTGTCTGAAGAACGGGAAAAAAGCTACAAGCCAACCGTTGCCATTTTGTTCGCACGTCATCGCACCAACCGGGGATACCAAAAAAGAGCTAAGAGGCGGAGCTATAGACGCCTGCTAGCATTTTGCTTAGACAGGGTTTTCTTTGAGAGAAGCAGTTAAAACTTCATTACATGTGATTACATGCGTTTGTGTTCTGACCACATGTGCTTGGTTGTAAAGTTTAAATAAAACAAATACATTTATAGATATGGTATATGAGTATATCATTTCACTTGAATGGTTTGCACAGCATGCCAAGAAATAATTCCAAAAGGCAACTGACTATGTTATTATGCTGTGTTATTATTTATAATAACTTAATATAAGCTAAATGGATGAGTTATAAAAAAACTTCACCCTCTCACAGTTGTTATGAGGGGTAATATTAGCTATATGAGCCAAAATCTTTCATTGTACCAAGCTGTTACCCCTTTTTTTCTGCTGTAAAGTCGGCCATTTTAACAGTGGGCTCAATAGAAATCTGCTCTATTATGAAGCCAGGATTAGCGGAATTTCGATGAATTGCAGTTGCAGTTGCTTCACAAGGGAGAGTGGGAGGTTGCCGCTTGGTTTGTCCACATAAAATACATGTGTCAGATGACACTTTCTGTAAACTCTGGCCAGGGTGAAGATTTTCCGAAACTCCTGTTACAGTGTAGTCAAATTAAATATTGCAGCTTCCGGGTCCAAGCACTATTACAAACTGTATATGGTCCATACAGCAAAAGATTTTCCTTACTAATAAGCTAAAATAAATATATTTTAAATTATTACACAACATTTACTCAGTCAAAAACATCTTAAAGAAAAGATTTGGATCAAACTTTGATACAAAATGCTTCTTTTGTTAGAATAACACTGAAACTCTTCCTCTGTCATTTTGGTCACGCAACTGTGTTCCAATTTTGACAAGATGTTCATTTATTTATCTCAAATATTATTTCACTGAATTTTTCTGTGACTCCAAGAGTAATTATTTAGTTTTTTTATTATTAATTTTTAACATCTGCTTTATAATAAACCTTCTTTTAATGCAGATTTTATATTCCTAGATGTAAATTTTCAAATTGCAAGCCAATATTTATAGCATTTATACAAAAAGTTTTAAATTATTTTATTAAGAAAGCACTCAAAACTTACCATTTGCACGACCTTTAATATATATAATCTATTAAATCTCTAAATCGCTATTATCATATTATTTTGCCCTCTTAAATCTCAGTCTTTATCTATTATATATCTATCCTCAGGTCAGATAACCTGTTGATATTTCTTAGTTTTTTGTTTGTTTTCTGTTGCTGTTTTTCTCTTGTTTTTTTCTTGTTTTTTCATTCTTTATTGACACCACTGTAAATAATATAATCATTGTTACTTTAAATGATGTGTACCAATGTATTTTTCTGTTATACAATAAATGTTAAAAAAGCGCTCCATCAAACTGTATGGAGAGCCTCAACAAATGGTAGTAATAAACATTTACAAAGCGATGTAATACTTTTAAAAATCACAATCACAATAGATAAATATATACTGTATAAACATGCCTAATATCCAATGGCCAGAAAGTGATTAAAATTTTTATAAATTGTTAAAATATTGATGTCTGTAATGCAGAAAGTCCAGAAACTGTTGTGTCCACCATGAGTTTATATAAAGTTCACTTTAATATGTGATATGACTAAAATGTGGTCATAACTGAATATTTTCTCAATTCAAATGAGTAGTGGCTTGGACCCAGAAACAGTATTGCTTACGTCACGACATAACAAGCAGATTGCATTCAAGTTAATGCAAAGATGAGGATGAAGGAGGATTACCAACCTAATCCAAGTGGATGCTGCACACTTGTGGTGGTGTGGAGAGAAGTGCTTTGGGTGTATGGTCATACACGATAAATGCGCAATATAAATACACATTATGTAACATTACAACCCTGCGGTTTAAACAACTGAGTGATTCTGAAATTTTTTTTTTTTTTAAAAATCAAGATACAATTATAAATCTGTTCAGCTGTGTCATATGAAAAATAAATCTTTGCATTTGAATCTAAAAATTTAATTACTGCACAATGTTTAACCATGACTAAACATTGAAAAGTTTTATTATATTGTAAAGTAATTATATTTGATCAAATTTTATGTTGTATTTTGACACTCCTGTCATTCAGTTATCTGTTTTGGTAACACAAACAAAACATTATGTTATGGTTTGTCACAATTCATGCTAATAACAACTTACTTATTACCTGCCTATTATAAAGATATTAACTGTTCATTAGTAGTTAGTGTAAGTATGATCTCATTCTGCATCCCTGAATCCTACCCAAAACTTCAAAGCAACTTCTACCTTACTAACTTTTAATAAACGGCTAATAGTAGATTATTAAGCCAGTAGTGTTGGTTAATAGTTTGTCAATACCATGAATTGTGACCTAAAGTGTTATCTTTCTTTTAAGAAGTAATTTCAAGTCTTATTACTGTCTATTTAGTTAATGCTTAACAACCGATGAGCTATTTGCTAATTCTTAATAAATGATTTATATTGTGCAGTTGTTGTAAAGTGTTGTAAAATATTGAAACATCTGAATTCTTTTAACACATTGTAATCCCCCGTGCAGTGCTGGAGAGTTGGCTGGACTACACAGGTGAGCTGGAGCCTCCAGATCCACTGGCTCGACTCCCTCAGCTGAAACATCGCATCCGACAACTGCTCACTGACCTGGGAACTGTCCAGCAGATCGCACTCTGCTCCTCGTCCTCTTGAGGGCGCCAGAGAACAGCTCAAACTCGATCGCCAATAGATACACGTGCCTGTTTGTTTGTTTTTTTACTTTCTCTCTCTAAAAAAATCAAGCAAGCTAATGTTTCTGGCACATGTCTGTTGGACTGATGAACATCCAAGCTAACTGATATCTGATGCAAACAACGGTTTTTATTTTATAACGCTTCATTGTAGCACTTAGCTGTCTGTCATAGACCTAGCAGGTATTTTGATATCGTTTGTTTTTTTTTGTCATTTCCTCTGTGTTCTTGACATGCTAAATAATTATTTGTGTTACTTCATATGTAATCAGTTTTTTTTGGGACATTTTCCCTCTGGGTAAAGAGCTTAAAAAAGGAACTGAAGGGTATTTTGCTGTAGTTAAAGTAAAAAAAACAAAAACAAATGTTAAATATGAGCATAACAATATACAAAAGCTATATTTTAAATCTGAAAACACTTGCATTTTACTTCTATATTTGTACTAATGGCTATGAGAGTCATGTGATCTTGTAAATAACTCAACCGATTGCTTCAATACGTGTTCTTTTTTATTTTTAAATGAAACTATTGCATTTACAGTAAAGACTTTCTGTAATCTTTGATCTGTTGTGAATACTGTAATTGTGGGCTTTCCGCCTATAACCATCCCTTTTTGTTTTATTTTGTTGACACAATTGATGTTGGTTGCATTTCAAATCTGTGGACTTTTTCCACTGGCGCATATTACATAAGCACAGAATGTTGTTCACTTGCTGACCGAGCATGTATCTCTGTATGTCTGTTTCTTTTCTTCTTCTAATTTCTGATTTTGTTTCTATTCACTTTCCTGTCGCTCTCGAGGCTACGCATTTTTGAATTAAGACATTAGATGCCTTTTAAGTTATTGTAATTGTGAATTTAAGTTATTGATTTTACTTTGGTCCATTGGTTTTCTTTTATACGGATTATTGAATGATTAGAGAGAACGAGAGAAAAGCTGGGGTCTTTTTTATTAGTGTTCTCGCCCTGTGGTGTTAGGATTTTCATTTAGATCATTACTGTTTATATAAAAAATGTGCTTAATCTTACTTCAGGCAAATTTGAGTGTCATTCACTTTTAAACACACACATACACACAAGAGACATTTGTTATAAGCCTGTGGATTGATATAATCCTGCCGATGGGTGTTTTTATTTTTATTTGATTTGTTTTTGTAAGTTTCTTTGTACAACTAATGAGTGGTTGACCAATTGACTTCCTCAGTATTGTGTATTATATTTTTTTGTCTGCCCTGTTGCTTTCCAGTAATGGAAATCTACTTATGAATCATAAGTATTGCTGACTTTTTTATGTATTTTTTTTCATTGTTGCCATCTTATGTCAGGGGTCCCTTGAAATCTACAAGTTCTGAAAAATATTGACATATAATCCAAATGCAAGGAAATAAATGCAAACATTTAAACTCAACAGTTGTTTGGTTTTATTTTGGACTGGATACTTTTTAAGTGCACTCAAAAAATAGCTGTTTTTTCAAACTAATTAATTTAAATGAGCTGAAACAACACAATTCATGATATTTTTGCCACAATTTAATTGTTTTATGCTCAATCCACTTACATTTGTAAAGACTAATAAGTTAACTTAATTCCTTCATGTTGTCCTAACACGAATTAATAGTGTGAACTCTGCATTTCTTTACAGTGTAGATGGTAGTAACATTTTTATTTATTTATTTATTTTTGCTTTGTTTTATTACAAGTTAGTAGACAATTGTAATTAGCAATTAAGACTTGTTATACAAACCATTATTATTTATATAAAGCAAAGTTTAAAATGCTTGGTGTAATAATTTTTTAGCCAATGTTAAACATGTTTACACAAATATATACTTTCAAAAAAGCACTAATACAATGGGAAAATATGAACATATACTTAATTCACCCAGTAAATCCAGAGAAGCTGGCAATTGTCAAGCGGTCACTTTAATTTTATTTACTGTTCATAGCTGCATATACCATCGATGGATGGATGGATAGATAGATAGATAGATAGATAGATAGATAGATAGATAGATAGATAGATAGATAGATAGATTTTTTTGTAATTACAAGTTGCTCAATGGATAAATTACATAACTAAACCAGTAATTTAACTTGATTGTTTAAATCAAAAATATTTACCATCAATAAAACAACTTTTATTCATAAGTTTATTCCAACAAAACGATTAGGCAGACCAAAACAAGTTGTAATGACTTTTAAAGTAGGCACATTTATTGCCTATTTAATTCTTAATGCTTCATAATTCGCAACACAATTTTGATGTTAATTAGCACATTTATGTTGCAGATTTAAATATTATTGCATAATTTACAATTTACTTTTTATTTTAACCTTGATCACACCATATCCATTGCATGTTTAACTCATTTTGCATAATTTGTGATTTATTTAGTAATTTCTTCAATTCAATTGTTTTAAATTTTATTATTGGTGGCTCAGTGGTTAACACTGTCACCTCACAGCAAGAAGGTTGCTGGTTCGAGTTCTGGCTGGGCCAGTTGTCATTTTGGGTTGAGTTTGCATGTTCTCCCCGTGTTGGTGTTGGTTTCCTCTGGGTGCTCCGGTTTCCCCCACTGTCCAAAGACATGCAGTGTAAAGTATAAAGTGGATTGTATTAAGTAGATTGGCCATAGCGCATAAGTGTGTATGGGTGTTTTTTGGTACTCGGTTGCAGCTGGAAGGGCATCCGCTGCGTCAAACATATACTGGAATAGTTGGCGGTTCATTCCACAGTGGTGACCACTGACAAAAAAAGGGACTAAGCCAAAGGAAAATCAATAAATGTATATTGATTAGTAATTTGTGACTTGGCGTATTTTGTAACTTACTTAGTCATTTTTGAATGTATTTCTATGTTAATTAAACATTTATTGTACATTTAATTCTTAATGTTGCATGATTTAAAAAATAATAATGTTTTATTTTATTCTAATTTATATGTTTGCTGCTTCTACAAACTATATAAAATTAGCTTAACATAATTCTTAAGTGTTTTTAGGCACAATGTTTAATACTGTTCAATTCACTTTAATTTGTAAAAACAATTAAGTTAACTTAATTGAATTGTGTTGGGACAACATGAAGTGACTGTGTGGAACCTAGCTTTTTACAGTGTATTTTACTAGTTTGACAATGTGAGATAAGACATTATACACATATAAATTTGATTTTCTGGTTACGTTTTTATTTGTATTTTATTATTAGAAAATTATTAGAACATTTCATGTGTATAATAGAGTAACCTAAATGTCTGACCTCAGCTCAGTGTGAAGCATGCAGTGTCCAATCTGTCTGGTTGTCAGTCAGTTCTCGTGAGCTCCTCCTCCGGCAGCGCGAGGAATCAACCACAGCACCGCCGCACGCGAGAGCACAGCACACAAATCCGCCGAGCACACAGTACAGTACAGCACGCCGAACAACTCTCCTCTGCTCCTGTTCACTGCTCATCCAGCACGCTTAGATCTTCATCAACGGTGAGGCTTGAAATCTTTTCATTTTCACGTCCTGATGTTTCAATTTCTGTCTTCAAGTCATTGACTTGATGAGTAGTTGTGCGCTGCTGCGAGCTAACAACAGCAGCTAGCGCGACACTAACGTCAACATTACTCCGTTATACACAAGCCAACGCTTTGTTGTCGTAAATACTCTTTGAGTGAGGTAAATGTGTCATCATTGTCTCTTCTATCGTTACTACTTAAAGCATGGATGTGTTAAAGACCAATAACCGTCAGCAGCTAGTCCTGTCACATTGAGTCAGTACGTAATGCCTATAACGTGAAATCCTGTAAGATCTAGGACAGCTTGATTCATTCTTTGATTGTTGTGAGTGTTTATTTGTTTTATTTTAGTTGTTTGATTCATTCTTGGATTGTTGTGAGTGTTTATTTAGTGTCAGTGTTTATTTGTTTTATTTAGTTGTTTGAACGTGTCCAGCACTCAGTCAAGTTGAACTTCCACAATGTGCGTCTAGATTTGGACTTTAGTCTCCTCTTAGCTGTACAGTATTTTTGTATAGCTGAAACTATTAATTTTTCTCTTTTAAAATGTAGTGTTTATCACTTAAACTTTCATCCTGACGTCTGTCATCTCTCACTAAAACTAAAAAGTCTTCAAATCAGTTCTAAACGGGTATACTGTAGATGCCACATGGCAGATTGTGAGCCCATGTTGTGTAAAAAGGGCTGCTAACCCATTTTCCCAAAATACTGCAAGAGAAACACCACAGCAGCAAAGCCATCTGATTAGTGACATGAGTCCAGATGCTTGTGGTCTAGTGATCACCAACAAGTGGGACAAATTAGAAGAAAAAAAAACAGCCAAGAAGTCTTTTGCCAGCTGGGGATTAATGGCTATAGATAGCAGTAGGATTTTTGATGACCATCAATCTTTAAGTGACCCTGTTTACATCCTTTATTAAAATGTATTTTTGTCAACCCAGGTAGCACATGAACGTCTGCATTAGCCCGTTGCAGTATGGTACGAGTCACATTTATCAGGCTTGCGTTTCCACTGCCAAAAGGATACCAATGGTGGGCCTGGTGAACGACAGAAAGTTTCAGTCGACATTATTCTTGCTCGTGGAAATGTCAAAGTAAAGCTCACTAAATGCTTTATAAACATAAATACTTAAATGTTCATTACTATTACTAACTATTCTATGAACATGATTTGATTATAACTGCAGATCAGTAATATGCCAAATATCCTTCTTTAATGTCTGCAGTTACATAAAATAAATCGATAAATGCAACATATAATGCATGCAGACTCTTATAGTCTCAGATATGTTCCCAATTGCAGAATACCTACACACATCATACATTTAGTCCTTATTCGGGTTTAAAAACAACACGCAACACATAGCCCACAGTCAGTGCAAACACCTCATCTGTGTCTGTAATCTTCAGCAGCTCATGTAGTCTCTGTTAGAGAATAATTCTGTCATTCTCAGTTCATAATAGTCCAAAAGGTAATGATAATAAATAAACATGGCAGTTTGTTCAAGTTTTAGGTTGCTGAAAGAGTCATTTGCTCCTTTGTTTTTTCGGCTTCTCCTTTGTTTTTTCAATCTTCTCTCTCGTTTTTCCGTTTCTGAAAAGATCAGATGTCAGAAGCACTTCAATAATCACATGCACGTTGTTATCATCAGCTCAAGAAGTTCGTTATTTTAAATATAGAAGTGCGGCAAGTCAGCTGTTTGTGTTGCTCTGCACTTCCAAAGTGCTAGCTGGCAGGGAGGTTTTTGTTTCTGTGTGTCGAGTTTAATTGCTGGTGTGTTTTATTTTTTATGAACACTACCTTATTGTGCAAGTAGCTAAAACTGGCTCTTTCTGAGGTGGGAACTAACAGACGTGCAACAATCTTAGGCCCCGTTTACACTAATGCGTTTTAGTTTGAAAACGCATAAGTTTTGCTGCGGTTACGCCATCCGTCCACACTACGCCGGAGTTCTCGAGCGCCGAAAACGGAGCGTTTCGAAAACGCTGGAGAGGCCGTTTTCATTCTAAAACGCTGCTGCTCCGTCTCAGTGTGGATGGGGAAAGACGGAGACATCTGAAAACGGAGGCGGGGCTGCAGACATTCGCCTCTCTGATTGGGGCTTTTCCTCAATATTAAGTAGCCTAACACACAGTTCAGTCCTGAATCTTCTCCGTGTAAGTTCAGACTTCGCAAGTTTGATCAAGGCTGCATCTCTTCTTCTCAGTTTGATATGGAAAACATACCGAGGACATGCGTCAATCTTCACAGGGAACAGTGTACTTTATAACTTCATTCACATCACCTTGGCTACGTTGTTTCACTTTCTCAACAATAAAATGTAAACTTGATATAAGGAACTGCCTATTTTTATTTTAATATTAACAACTAAACAGACAGCAGAAATGTTGAGGCGCCGTGCTGTACGAGCGTCATCTTCACTGTGTGCATATTTATAACAAAACGGAGCCGATAACAACTGCCTCCTTTCAATTTCAGTGAAAATACGAAACACACCCTCTCTTTTGCTGAATATCAGTTTTAATAATCGATAATGGCCATTATAAAAGTATAACATACAATAAGTTTATACATTATAGGAAATAAAGGCAAGCGATCAGTCAATATACAGAATGTAGGCTACGTGGTTACATTAATCATTAACTTATCTTTGCGCTCAGCCAAAACACGTTACCTGAGAACAAGTAATAGATTCCAGTGACCAAAGTCAGGGAATATGTCGACAAGATGAATAAAATATCACGTTTAATAAATATAGTGAGATTAGATCCAGCGGGAGATGCTTGATGAGAAGTCCGACTAGCAGAGCTCTCATCTGGGTAGATGGGCTCCAGCGATTGCCAAAGTGTGTGTGTGTGGTCACGTGATGTGCGTTTTCAGCGTTTTGGTGTGGACGGAGAGCAGTTC